GTGTGCCTCCATTTCCTGTGGGTTCAGAGGGCTCTTGCAGTAAAAATTATGTTTTAAAAAAACCACCACAACCACCACTAATGTCTGATTAACTTGAAGCCTAGGATCCATTCTGAGGTGGAGCTGGGGGAGAGAACAGGCTCAGTCACTGTCCTGGCCACAGCAGCAAGTGAATTGTCTCTATTCCCCTATGCTTGAGTTAATTAAATCTCTTTTCTTCAAAAAGCAAATTTTTTCCTCTGGTACTTTGCTGTAGTAATGAAAAACTAACTAACACAAAATACCTGATGACTATTTGTTGATTAAAAGGCAGAACAGGGGGTGAGGTTGCTTAGCATGCATGAGGCACTGGGTTCAATTCTCAGTACCACATATAAAAAATAAGTAAAATAAGGTTGAAAAAAAATATATATATATATAGGGCAGAAAGAATATATGGAAAAGAGGCAGGGAAAGGGAATGGAAAAGAGTCACAAATCAAGGAATGGATGAATGGATGAAAGGGTAGGTGGAAGGGTGAATATATGGATGGATAAGTGGAAGAATGGCTGGTTTGGTATGTGTATAAAAAGTCTGTATAGATAATGAGAGGATGATGTGTTAGCTTTTTGTTGCTGAGGAAAAACAACTTAGGGGAGGAAAGATTTATTTTGTGTTATGGTTTCATCCATGGTTGGCTGGGTCCATTGCTTTGGATCTGAAGCAAGGTAGAACCTCATGCAGAGTCAAGTTGCTTACTCAGAGCGGCTGGAAAGCACACAGAGGAAGGGGCCAGGGCCTAGGTAGAATCCCCAAGTGCACACCTCCAAGGATCCATCTCCTACAGTTTCCACCACTCCCCAAAGATCCATTTAGTTATGAACCCTTAATGAACTGAATGATGAGGTCAAGCCATCATGATCCAATCATTTTCTAAAATTTTCCACCTCTGAACATTGCTGTTTAGGGAACCAAGCCTTCAACACATGAGCCTTTGGGGGATAGTCCAGATCCAAACCATAACAGATGGACAACTGATGAGACTGAGGGAAGGGGCCTGGCTGTATTTCAGGAGTAGAGCATTTGCCTCACATATATGAGACCCTGGGTCTGGTCCCCAGATACGCCCCCACCCCAACACACATACAATGAAAGGACGGAAAGGCAGATGAAGTGGGGTGGAAGGATGGATGGATGAAAGGTTTGGAGTGTGAGAGGGCAGATGGACGGACAAGTGGAAGACTGATGGATGGATGGGATGTCTGCATGAAAGCACGAACAGATGGATTGGGAGCTGCTATATTTATATATACATATATTTTTTTTTGACGTGGAGTCAGGCTATGTTGTACAGGCTGGCCTTGAACTCGTGGGCTCAAGTGATACCCCTGCCTCAGACTTCTGAGTAGCTGGGACCACAGGCATGTGCCACCACACTCAACAAAGGTTTGAATACATGAATGAAAGACTGGTTAGATGAAAGGCTGAAGGGGTAAAGAATGGGAAGTAAAAGAGTTAAATGTCTCCAAAAAGAACTTCTTTTGCAGACACTGGATTTCCCAAGTTCCAATAAAACAATTTATTGCTAAACTCTAGTGGTGCCAATGGTATAAGGGTAGTACTGAGGGGCCCCAACCTGCCTGGGAGCTGGAGTCTTCTTCATCCACAATCCCAGTGACCGCGGGAGACGATGTTGAAGGGACAAGATGGTTGAGAGGGGGAGCTTCACATTATCTGGAGGGGAACTCTGACGTTAATTAATGTTCCCTGACATTAATCAGAACTGATGTGCCAGGTCTAAAGAAGTGGCAGGGATGCACATTCAGGGGATTTTTCTAGAAGCTTATCTGTGATTAAACAGCAGGCTTTGATTCACATCACTTCATTTCTTTTTTCTATTTTGAACTGCAAGAAGTTGAAAGGTCTGGAAAACAATAAAAATGGGTATTAGTATCTTATTCACTCAAGGAACACCCTGTGTGCCGCTACTGCATGCAGGTATCTACTAGGAACTGGGGACAGAGACATTAGCAAGAGGGTCAAGGATGCTTGAGGGCTTATAACTGGGAGGACAGGGGACACCACTCCAGTTGGGACAAGGACTGGGGAGAAAGCAGGTGAAAAGACTGGGGTGGGCAGGAAGGAGGTGCCTCCTGGGACCATGGAGGCCCCAGGAACCTGAGGCAATGGCTGTGCGAAGACGAAGGGGAAGGTCTCCTGACCACGGACACGGCAGGTGCAGCGGTCCTTGGCCTGGTCTGGAATATGAGGTAAGGTGGGGTAGTGGCACACATGACACTAGGGGCCACAGGGCGGGGAGGTGCGCTCAACCAAGCAGGCAAGTCGAGGGGCCACCAGGAAGCATCTTTGGCTACTCAAAGATGACTGGACTCCTTGAATAGATCTCCTCATTAAGGGTTGCTGAGTGGGTGGCTGCCAGGGAGCAAGCAGGTCTGAAATGGCCAAGATCTTGAAGGAGCCATCAGGTTTATCATCTCCATTCATAGTGAATTCATAGCATTTTTCGTGGCCTCAGTCCATGTTGAATATGCTGGATTTTCCATACCATAAGTAGGCTCAGGCCCCCTGACCCATATTTCAGGTCTCCTCCGAGTTCGTCAGTGTGGTCCATTTAGATACCCACCTCAAGCAAATTCCTCAACTGATAAATATAGTTGGAGCTTCTGTCTTGAGCCAGGTCTGGGAAACAGATGACAGAGGCACATGTGACCCCATCATCATGGAGCTCACTGCTAACAGGTGACTAAGACAAGTGACCATATAGTCAAGCCACCTCTGGGACAGCAGACCAGGCAAAGCCATCTAGACCAGACTTGGCAACTGCCGGAGGGAGAGGGTGAGGGAGCCAGGGGTGTCAGGTGGACCCTAAGGTCTCTGGCTTGGACACCGGACAGAAGGAGGAGCTGTCTGCTGGCTGGGGAAGGAGCATGTGTAGTGGAGAAGGTCCTGGCTTCTGCAGGGTATCCGGGGCTGACAGAGCCTGCTACTCTAATACAGAAAGTGACTTCCCCAAACTGGCACTTTGGGTGCCCTGTGTGCAGGTGCTGTGTGCTCTGATCAAGTGTCATCTCATATCTGCAACTTTGGATGTCAGGAAAAGTGCAGGAAAGACCAAGCAATTGCAATCCAAGTGCCACCAGAAGATGACTGTCAAAGGAGACAGTGCTACCCAGGGAGGTGCTGTCCAGGATGGGCCTGGACCAAGCTTTTTCACCACATCAGTGACATCTAGACAGGTCTTTGGGTGGTGGTGGGTGGGCTGGGGGAGGGTGCCATGCACTGAGGACGCTGAGCAGTGTCCCAGGCCTCTACACTAGACGCCAGTTGGACTATTCCCTGTTGTGACAGCCAAAAATGTCTCCAGACACTGCCAATGCCCACCTCCACCCCTGGGGCAGGGACCTGAGTCAGACATGACCTGAGCTTCGATTTCAGCAAACCACAATGACAGAAACGCTAGCTCCATGAGAGAGGAAAGGCTTGGGGAAGCTCCTCCTTAGGACACATCCTGTGCTCTTCCACAATCAGTAGTGTGTAAACTGAGTTTTTAGCCTTCTAAAAACGCCCTCGCAGTCTCACATGGTATAGTGGGAGTTTACACTGGCATAGCCCCGATGGACAGCAATCTCATTATCACTATGGGAAGGACAATTCCACCTGCCAATACACACACCCCAGGCACAGAACTAGGCATACAGCTGTTTGAGGCAACATTAAAAAGTTGGGACACTGAGCAAATGTCCAACGACTGGTTAAAAAGCACATCCTTCATCTACACAATGGGATATAGCTGTCCTTCAGCATACTCCAGGGATTGGATCCAGGACCCCTGAGGATATCAAAATCCCAGGATGTTCAAGTCCCTTACAGGAAATGGAACAGTGTTTGCAGATAACCTATGTTCATCCTCTGGTCCACTTTAAGTCACATCTGTCCTAACAATATCTCATGTAATGCAAATGCTATGTAAATAGTTGTCATTCTGTACTGTTAGGGAATAATGACAAAAAAGTCTGTGATGCCCAGCGAAGATGTAATTTTTTCAAGTCCGTTTGATCTACAGTTGGTTAAGTCTGTGGATAGAGAACCCTCCACTACAGACAGCTGACAGCGCTGTGCCGCTACGAAGGCCGTGGACACACTGTGTTGATGAGGAGAGACGATGAGAAGGGAGCGAGGCAGGGCACAGGGCACAGGGGCAGTGGATGTTTTGTGCATGGTGGGGACGAGGCCAGCCAGCCCACAGGAAAGCAGAGTCCTGGTGAAAGGGCATAGGAAGAGGGTTGCATGGAGGCCAAAGGGCCAGTATTTTGGAGGCCCCTGAATCCAGTCATGCCTGAAGCCGCCGCCCCCCCACCCCCAAGAATCTTCTACCACCAAACAATCTACCTTTTCCTTTTCTTTTCTTTTGTGACACAGGGATGCAACCCTGGGGCACTCAACCACTGAGTACCTTTTTTGTATTTGATTTAGAGACAGAGTCTTGCTGAGATGCTCAGGGCCTAAGTTGCCAAGGCTGGCTTTGAACTGGTAAACTTCCCATCTCAGCCTCCAGAGCCACTGAAATTATAGGCATGCACCACTGCACTCAGCTCACTCCACCCTTTTCTTAGAGCCAAGCTCAGTTAGGTTTTAGCTACTTGCCCTTCCTCTTTCCTGGGGATTGGAAATTTGAGAGCCCATGGAAATCCAGCATCTGCGGGAGGGCTGGCCCTGGCGGAAACCTGGGCTGCATCTGGAGTTATCCTTCACAGCCCTGGGCAGGCCTGGGCAGGAGCAGGGAGAAGGGAAGGGGGAGAAGGTGAAGATGCCAAGTTCTCCTTACATGGATTCCACCTAGGGCACCACCTGGAGGTCCAAGGGGTCGTATGGTGACACCTGCAGATCCTGCAGTAGGGCTTCTAGATTGTTCCTCAGCACAGCATAGGGCGGCTTCTCCTCGTACTTGAGGGCCATCACCACCTTCAGGTATTCCTTCAGGGTCTCTGTGGTCAAAACACCCCCCAGCACAGGAGAGGCCTGAGAGGCGTCCCCAACCCAGGGCCTGTGGCTGTGCCCAGAGGCAGAAAAGCAGGGATACCACAGGGTCCCTGGGATGTCACCGACATGCCCATCTGTTCATCCTTCCTTTGTTCTGGCACTGCCAGAGGCACTTACATTTTTTCAGTGCAGAAATAATGGCCAAGGCAGGCACCAGTAGAGGACACCATGGCCACTCTAGTACCTATCAACCAGCCTCATGTCACCAAAACCCCCAACCCCTTCTCCATTCTGTTTTGTTTTAAAGAGAATCCTTGCTAACAATGCCATTTTACCTGATACAAATATTTAGTGCATATTTCTAAACTGGGGGCAACTCTTCCTGCAAAATGCCAGACAGTGAATGTTTTGGTCTGTGACTCTGCTGTGGCCCAAGAACAGCCACAGACCTAAAGGAAACATGAGCACGGCTTGCTGCATTCATGGTTGCTGCAGCTTGAACTGTAGGGCCATGAAATGCTCTTCTTTCCGTTTTTCAACCATGTACAAATGCAAAGCAATTCTTAATTCACTGGCAGCACAAGCAACATGATTTATTAACACCTACTTTAAAAGAGAAAGGCTCTCTCTTTATTTCCCCAGAAAGAAGCACAAAACCAGGATTGTACTTTAAAAAAAATTAGCATTAAGATGGTAGTAACAGTGGTGACAACAGTCCCTACTTGGCAGTGTCTTCCTCTAGCCAGGATCTACACTGCACTAATGAGGGGCTGAGGCAGCTGCTGGAGTACAGTTCTGTGTAGAGGGCTCTGCATTGACTATGCCTAGCCACCTAGAGGTGGGTGCTCTGTTGGCTCCATTTTACACACTGGGAAGCTGAAGCTCAGAGAGGGCACATTTTTCTGTTGGAGGTCCTCAGGCTGGTGCGCCCAACTCCTGAAGGATGACCCTGTCTCAGGTGATCCTGCCCCAGCCCCGCCTTCTGGTTGATTGTATAAAATCTCCCAGTGGCAATTCACTAACCACAGGCTCACCTTCTATGGAGGGTGAACTGGACGGAAGTGCAGCTTGAGAAGCTTGGTCATGATATGAGCCTGGGGATTTAAAAAAATTAAACACAGCCCTTACACAGCCAGAGGGGACAGATTCTCCATCTGTTTCTGCCTCCACCTTAGCAACACAGAAGCTCATCAGAAAGGGCATTGCAAATGACAACTACCAACACTGCCAGAACCCAGCACAGACAGCTTAGATGTGCAATAATAGGACTGGCTTTACAAATCATGGTGTAACCGAATCAACACAGCAAAGCTGAGTGGACAGAAGCAGCAATGGACCTAGGGGCAAGGACATGGGAGAAGAGGCCCGGGGGAAATGCACATGCAGAAGAAGATGTATTACGTGAGCCCAGTTTTGTTTATAAAACCAAAAATCATTTGGTAAAAACACAGGCCTTGCAAAATAACCTGTGTGTATTATTTGTGTTTGGGATGCAGGTAGGAAAAGAACTGGCTGTCGATTGTGGAGATGGTCTGCAGAGCCTTGGTCACAGCTGTGCCACCATCCCCTGAGGAAGGGCTGCCTGCTAGGACACCTGGCTGCCCCTCTTTGTTGGGGATGCCCTGAACAGGAACTGAGCATGCCCCCTTAGCCTTGAGTAATGCGGGTGAGGAACTGGCATAGCACAGTGCAGAGTAAGTGGGCCTTACCTTTGCTGGGCAAGGAAGTGCAGTTCTGGGATTGGGTGTCACTCAATGGGACTGGGCTACACCCCCTGCTTGTTGTAACACAATCCCTTGCCTTATTTGGGTGGAATACTCTATCGAATGTCTTTCCCCTAATAAAAACAGGGGATCGGGGTGTGCTCCTCTCTTGCCTCTTGCCTCCCTTGCTCCTCTTGCCCTCTAGAGCAGGAGCTGACCCCTCAGGTTGCAGAGCTGCAGAGCCATACCTGATCCCTGAAAAAGGTATTTTGTTTGTGTGGTCTTTTCATTGCCAGCCCAACATGTGGAGTGACCCTGAAGCTATCGCCTGCATGGGACGTGGGTGACAGTTGGCACCTGAACAGGGACTAAATGTAGGTCCTAATGGCCAGCTTGAAGTAGTTTTTGGACTAAAATATTTGGCTACTTGAAGTTTCTCCCCTGTTAAGGGCCATGACAAGCTCAAATTAGCTCTTCTATAAGCCAGTTATTCTTTCTGTTGTTTTTTGGGACGGGGATAAAGTTAGTGACCCTATCAAAAATTTTGATTGGGTGAATTAAGTTGTCTTCACTGAGAAGACTGAGTCATAGGTAAATACCCTTCTTGTTGATTCTCTTCAATTCTCCAGGAGAAATAAATTCTTGATTAAGTATCCGAGGTGACACCATGGAATTTGGAGTTATTAATAATACATTGAGGCTACTTAGAATCTTGACCCCACAGATATACTGGCAATGTATCCAGGACATAGGGTTTAAAGAGTCCTGCATTACCATCTTTATCTTCCCATTGAAGGTACCTTAGTACCACAGTACCACTCTGAGCAAGTTGAGAAACTTGACCAATCCCTTCTAAACTGGCAGGTGCAATAAGTGGAGGAGGCCTCCTATCACCTGGTGGAGACCATTTCCCCACCTCTTGAGTTTGCACTAGTCTTGTCCCTTATTTTGGTCCAGAGAATGTGACAGAGGTGATGTTCTGGGCCTTCCATGCTCTGTGGCGCTGGCTCTCACCCTCTTTGGAAGCTGCACCAAGACCACAGTCTCCACTAGAAGGTGCGTGATCCCATGTGGGAGATGGGGAACCAGCCCCACTGAGTCCTCCCCAACCTGCCAGTGACAATGCCACATGGAAGAGTCAGGAGCCCCTTGAACCATCCAGCCTGTGGAACTGCCACATGCTGTGCTACAAGAATGTCCCCTGGTAAGACCAGCAGAACTTTGCAGATGAACCCAGCCCTAACTGCTGTCCTGAAGCATCCTAACACATGAAATAGGGCTTGTTGGGGGTGGTTTGTCACAAAGCAATAGGTGTCTGGAACACAACTCACCATACTACTGACAGTAACAGAGATTGGGGGTTTTGTTTTTGTTTTGCAGTGCTGGGGATGGAACTCCGACCTCCCACGAGAGGCAAGGGCTCAACCACTGAGCTAGCTCCCAGCCCTAGGGCTTGCATTTTTTTGTTTTTGATTTTGGTACTGGGATTGAACCCAAGGTGCTTTACCACTGAGCTACATCCCCAGCCCCCTGTTTTTAAAAATATTTTTTTAAAAAGTATTTATTTTTTAGTTGTAGTTGGATACAATACCTTTTATTTTATTTATTTATTTTTATGTGGTGCTGAGGTTCAAACCCAGGGCCTCACACTTGCTAGGCGAGTGCTCTGCTACTGAGCCACAACCCAGTCCGTCCGCAACCCTTTTTTATTTTGCATTTTGAGACAGGGTCTCACTATATTGCTTAGGGCCTTGCTAAATTGCAGAATTGAACTTGCAATCCTCCTGCTTCAGCCTTCCAAGTTGCTGGGATTATAGGTATATGTCACTATGCCCAAACAGGACTTGCTTTTAACTGTAAGACTGGGAAAGGGCCTAGAAAGGGATAGAAACTTTCAAACTTTTTCTTTCTTTCTTTTTCTTTTTTTTTTTTTTTTTGGTGCTGGGGATTGAACCTGGGGTCTTGTGCATGCAAGGCAAATACTCTACCAACTGAACTATATCCCCAGCCTTTTTTTTTTTTGATACTGGAGATTGAACCCAGGGTGCTGTATCTCTGAGCTAAATTGCCTGTCCTTTTTTTTTTTTTTTTTTTTTTTTTTGTGAGACAGGGTCTTGCTAAGTTGTTTAAGGCCTTGCTAAGTTGCTGAGGCTGGCTTTAAACTTGCGATGCTCCTGCCTCAGCCTCCTGAGCCACTGGGATTACAAGTATTTGCCACCATGCCCAGCATATAATCACATTTTTTTAAAGACATGATTTATGTGTATTTTATTACTACAAAAAATATTGACAACATTCTGCTAGTACTAACACAGGAAATCTCAAGGATATATTCATCCCAAATGGAAAAAAAGAAAAAAGAAAATCCCAGCTGGAGACCAATATATATAATATCATTCCATTAAAAATTATTTCTATGCAATTTTCTCTTTTTCTTTTCTTTTTTTGGTTATTGTTCAGAGACATGAGTTGTTTTGAAGAATTTTGTTTTTCTACAACAGACATATACTACATGTAAGATTTGGGAAACTCAAAGAAAGAAAACCAAGGAGTTAATGGGGTATAAAAAGAGCCCAATTTGAGATGGACCCAAGCTGCCTGGTCCTGTCTGGGGCCTGCCTGGTCCTGTCAGTGGCCTGCCTGGTCCTTCCCACTTCAGGACATACCTGAGGGCTTGATCCAGGAATGCTGCAGTCCCATGAGGAGCTCTGGGTGGTCAAGATACCTGCAGGGATGGAAGCACATGTAAATGGTCTTTTAGAAAAAGGAGAACAACTTTGCAAAGTGAAGTTCAATACACACAGTTGATTCCTGTTACTTATGGTGGTTGTGTTCTGGAGAGTCACCGTGAAAGCTGAGTTAGTGAATATAAGCCATGGGTCCTAGTTCCCAAGGGCCTCTGGTCACATTTCCATCAACCAATGAACACATAACCTTGGTGCTTGCTGTGTTTGTTTTGGTGCTGGGGATGGAACCCAGGGTCTTGTGTATGCTGAGCACACACTCTGCCACTGACTTGGCTTTACATGTGCTGCTGCTAGAAGACACCTTGCTTGACAACTATGTGCTGCGTGATTAACACTGAACTATGGCCATTGGCACTCTAACTCATGACTGTTTTAGACAGAGAAATCACCGACAGCAGAAAAATATATCATGCAATAGACAGTACAAAGAATTCTTTATGGGGCTGAGGTTGTGGCTCAGTGGTAAAGCACTTGTAAGGCCCTGGGTTCGATCCTCAGCACCACATAAAAATAAAGGTATTATGTCCATCTACAGCTGAAAAATAAATATTAAAAAAGGACAATTATGTAGTATAAGAGCCGAAAACAGGAGGCAGAATGTTGCCTGGTTTCATTCTCAGTGGAGAATGTGTGTGTTGGGTGACAAGTTTTTCTCCACTCTGCGTGTGACCACAGATGACCACAAAAGCACGGTAAGAATTTATTTTGTGGGCTGGGGGTGTGGCTCAGTGATAGAGTGCTTCCCTGGCATGTATGAGGCACTGGGTTCGATTTTGAGCACCACTTATAAATAAACAAATTAAATAAAGGTCCATTGACAACTTATATATACATGCCAAAAAAGAATTGGTTTTATGATTACAAATACCTTTAATGAGTGGGGAATTCACAAATATAGAATCTTTGGATAAATGAGGACGGACTGCACACACACACACACACACACAGCATAAATACATGTGTTCATACACACACAAACACATACGTGACCCTTCCTGATCACTGAGGAAAAAATGGAAATTCATCCAGTGTGCCTTTGCCCTCTCCTCAAAGCACCAGCCTCAGTATTTCTTCGCTGGCTCAGAGTGCCAGATTGCTTCCCCAACATCCACCCAGTCACTGGGCACTGTCCCTGTCTTTGCTGACCCCTGCCCAGCAGTCCTCAAGCCCCAAACTTCTGCTTTCCAGTTTTCTCTGCCCCCTTCTCATCTGTCCAACAGCTCTGGGCCCAGCTCAGGCCTCCTCCCTGGGTTCCAGGGATCCCCAACAGGAGCCCAGGGTCTTTCTATGACCAGAACCAACCCTGCCCCTCCCTGCTCACAGCTCTCCTGCGGCTCCCCAGTGCCCAGTGGGTAAAGACCAGGCACATGAAGACACCCAGAGGCACCTCTGGCTTCGTTTCTCCTCTCCTTCCTCTCATTTATGCTGCAGCTGCACTGAATTAACCCTGGTCCTTACTAGGGCATGCAGCCACACACGACTTTGGCCTCTGCTACCAGGGATGGCCTTTCTCAACCCTAACCCCAAGCGCCAAGTAGGAGGTGGCTCTTCTCCCTTCAGGATGCAGCTCAAGAGCTTAGTCTCCTGGGAAGCCTTCCTTGATTCTTCCAGACAGAGGAACTCAATCCCCTCTAGAAGCCTGAGTACCATGCGTCAGTCACTGCCACCTATGGCAGCCATCCATACACCATATGGGAAGGGTGGGTACCCCATCCCAGCAGCCTCAGGACACAGTGAATGGATAAAGAAGTGAACGAGCAAGCTATGGCACAAAACAGACGTGCCAATTGCAGGGGAGTAAGTAAGCCACTGTCTGCTTCTATGGAACTCCATGATCATCTAGGTATAGGGACCAATCTGATGGCCAGCAAGGGCCTTGCACAGCCTGTGGGAATCTAAGTCTATACCCTTTTTCATTAGTTCGTTCCCTCATGTATTTTTTTTATTTTTATTTTTTAGTTGTAGTTGGACACAATACCTCTATTTTGTTTATTTATTTTTATGTGGTGCTGAGGATCAAACCCAGGACCCCGCACGTGTGAGGTGAGCACTCTACTGCTGAGCCACAACCCCAGCCCCTCCCTCATGTATTTTAAAAATGAATACATATCTGTTAACGATTGGAAAAAGGCCACAGAGGTAAAACGTCATAGAGGTCAGAAAAATGTGTAAGTTGCAACATGGTCCCCTAGTGGTCCTTTAGGTTACAGCACCCAGTCACCAAGAAGCTGAGCTGGGAGTGGGCGGGGCTTTTGGACAGCATCAAGATGGGCCCTGTTCTGAACTGATGCCCTCTGTGGTCCTGGACAGCAGCCGGGGCTCTGGGAGTAGTTTCCCATGTTGATACCATGGACATTAAAGTGACTGCTATGACCTATTTTATGTGCTCTACATCTGTTGGGGAGGGCAAACCTTTTCTGTAAAGCATATCACATCCACCTCAAGTCTCTGTAGGGCTGGAGATGTAGCTCAGTGGTACAATGCTTACCTAGCGTGACCGAGGCCCTGGGAATCAAACCCAGCACCATAAAAAATAACATAAATAAAATAGTCTGGTAAGGGAGAATGTGGGAGGGGTTGTGAAAATAGTGACATGAGTGTCCTCAGGAGTCAGGGGATGTGGAGGGAGGAGAGGCTTCAACCCACAAGTGTCTCGGTGTGGTTTCCCCAATGGCAGGAAGGGAGCTGGAGGCACCCTGATCCACTTCATAACGTTGATCACATACTTGTCAGTGCTGGGCCTGGCACTCAGCTCTTCCCTCAGAACAACACTTCAGGTCATCAAAGGTGACTAAGTAAAGGCACCTGGACTCAAATACAAGCCATTCAGCTCCAGAGATGACCCCTCTCACCTCAGTGCCATTTCCCAAGTGTGAAAGGCTTATCCCAAGCAGATTGGGGGTGTCCTGGCACATGGATACCCCAGGAAACAGGGACTGATGAACGAGTAACCAAGTAACTGGAAGGAATTCAAATACATGCTGCTCTGTCCACCTAAAAATCCTGCCTGGGGGCAGCGCCTGCTTCCTCTGCTTCCTGCTGTGTGCTTCCTCCCAGTCCCTGTCACCCCCAGCCCGCCCCTACTGGACTGCGGCTGCCAGGTCAGTCTGACCTGCGTCCACACTGAAGCGGGGCTGGCTCACACAGTCACATGTTAGTCATTCACTCCACTACTATTTCTTGCACACCCACAATGCACGCTCTGATGAGGAAGGTGTGCACATGCTGGAGGGGACGGGGTTCTCCACCACCTTGGAGGGGAGGCAGTTGTCAACCGTGCTTACGCTGCTCTGAGGTGCGCTGTGAGCGTAGCTCAGCCAGGTCCTTAAACCAGGCATCAGAAGCTGGCACAGGGTGCTTCGCAAGCTCCAGGCACACACGTCCACTCTGTGCTACAAATCCCGTGACTCATGGTTTCACTGGCTTCATTTCAAAGGAACATGTCTCACTGCCTTGGGTAGAAAACCAGTGCCATCTGCGGGGACTAGAAACCAAATATAAAAGTAAGTTGCAAAACAGGGCAATCGACTCTTGCTCCAGTGGCTTCCAAAACAGAGGTGCCTGGTAACTTGGAGCTGAAGGCCCACCCCTTTCTACAGAGATGTTTGGGGCAAGTGCCAAAGTGAGACGTCCTTCTTGCCACTATTTAAAGCCTCACTGGCCCTTAGGAGTGATTCACTTGTTACCATTGCTGAAACCCACCCTGGACATTCAGTCACACCCTGTTTTGCTGACGGACACTCAGGAGTCTGACCCCTGACATGTCGTAAGCTTTGCCCCTCAGCTCTTTACTGTCTGTCCCCACAGTAAGATGTGAGCTTCCTGAGGGCAGGACTTTTGTCTTTCCTCAGTATCTCCAGGGCCTGGAGCAGAGGCTGGCACAGCAGAGGTGTCTGTTATCTGCTGAGTGAAGGAAGGCTGTGCCCAGACACCCCCAATCCACTCAAGCATCCCACACTTGGGAAATGACACTGAGGTGAGAGGGGCCATCTCTGGAGCTGAATGGCTTGTATTTGAGTCCAAGGGTTTTTACTTAATCGCCTTGTGATGACCTGGAGTGTTGTTCTGAAGGAAGAGCTGAGTGCCAGGCCCAGCACAGACAAGTATGTGATAAATGTCAACCATGCCTAGGTCACAGTTGTGAGCAGGCCAAGTACCGAGCATGTGCAAGGAGGAGACGTGATGTAGTGGGAAGCAGGAACAGACCCTGGAGGAGGATGAAATTCAGGGTTTCATACCATTTATGCCAAGCAAACACATCCAGCAACTTCACATAGTGTCAGGGACAGGCAAACCAGCTTAGAAGTATTCAGAAGTAGTGAAGTAGCAGCATAGCTAAAGTTTAAAAACAACACTGAGTGACAGAAAGCAGGAAAGAGAGGGACTGAGAACGTACAGCAGTTCCCCCTTATCGGTAGTTTTGCCTTCTGTGGTTTAATTTGTGGTCTATAAGAAGAAAGACAGATTAAGACCAATAAGATATCCAGCAGGGGGCATGCCACAACCGTGGAAGTTTTATTACAGTATTGTTACAACTTGTTACAAGTTATTGTTATTAATTCCAAATGACAATTAATCAATTAGACTTTATCATAGGCAATGCACATATATATATTGTACAGAATGTATAGCACCTGGTACCATCTGCTGTTGTAGGCACCCGCTGGAAAGAGGATAAGAGGAGGCTACCATATTATCATTTACACACATGAAACACACAGGACAACCCTGTATCATTCAAGGACACAGACACATCTACATAAAGAAGTAGGAGTCAGAAATAGAGAACTCAGTGAGGTGCAATGATGTGAAGCTGAGACCTCCGTGAGAGGAGTCAGAAACAGATGTAATTCAGAGCAGAGCACCACTCACGCAGATCACACAGCAGGGCCACCGTGCAATTTTAAGGATCCAAATACATCTAAGTAAACACATCAACAGAACATACATCAAGTGTGTCCGAATGGCTACCCACAGTTGAGAGAAAGGAGACAGGAAATGTAAGAGGGGTAAAGTAAAATGAGAGCGAGGCTTGACACACACCAGGGACGCGGTGTGTAAGAACCAGAAACTGCCACCGTGTGCTCACTGGAGAGCTTGTCCTCTTCCTGCCGAGGGGGCTTTCCCAGATAACCTCATCTTCTGCTGGGGCTCTGGCAGACATTTCCCAAGAGCCCCAGGTCTGTATTTCCACTTTGACTTCCTTCCTGCACTTCAGACGGGCACAGCAGCTGCCTCCCAGGCAGCCTGTTGGATGCCTCCTTGGCAAGGGTCACCCTCCCAGTCTACACCAGATCCCGAATTCAATCTTGGGACCTCAGGGCTTCCCTGTAGCCAGGTCCCCATCGTCCTTGGTACTGAGCCACACACTGCAGCAGTCTTCCCAGTCCACCTTCCTGCTGCCCTTGGTGCTGACCCTACACCCCCCAGGGCAGCTCTTCCCCTGGGTCCTGCTGCACATAACACTTCCCCCAAGCCCAACATTTCTCCTGTCCTTGGTGCTAAATGTCTGAAGTAAGACCTGGCAAGACCTGAGGTTTTGTAAGCAGAGGAGAGGGAGGCATTGATGCTGGTGGCATGGACACTGGGTGGCTGGTGCTGGATGCTGAGCCAGGGCCTGGGCCCACCTGCTCAGACTCCCAGTGTGCCTATGAAATTGAAAAAGTCATGATGTCCTGCACATGATGGGCACTAAGTGCTATGTGTGCCTGACTCCCCCAAGTCCTTCCACAGCCCTGTGACGCAGGTGCTTAGTGCATGGTCTCTCCTGGAGGAGAGAGCACCAAGGCCTCTGGGAGGCCAGCTGCTCGTCCAATGCCCCACAATGGTGGGACCAGAATCCGACCCCAGGGCTCCAGGGTTCCTGCTCTTTCACCTGCTGCAATGGACAGCATAGCACCTGCCTGAGAGCGCAGAGGCCTTGGGCTCTCTGAGACACTACCGCCCCTTCCTTCCTGCTCCCTGTTGTGACCTAAGGTCCTCCTCTACCTGGAGGGGTACCGGGCCAGTGCTGGGTTCTGCTGAGCCCCAGACTCACTTCTGTTTCTGCTTCATGATAGCCTCGGTGTTGGGAAGGCAGTTTGTCCATGGCAGGAGTCCGTAGAGCCACTTCAGCATACAGTACCCCAGGGACTGGAGGTCACTGCGGCGGGAGGGCCCTGGGAAGGGAAGGGAAGAGGCAGCAGCTGAGCCTAGATGTTCCACTCTCTGACGTGTCTGTCCCCTTTCTGTCTGTCTCTCCCACCCAACCATGAACCCCTGCTCACCATGTAGCCAGGCATCCTGTGCCACCCATCTGTTCACCACCACCCCCATTCAACCATCCCTTCTCCCCTCAGCAGCCCACACCTATCAGTCATGCACTCACTCAGCAGATCCCCAGCACCCATGGGCCAGGCCCTATCTCATGACCTCAATACCCAGCCCTGAACAGTCTCATGGGAAAGAATTACAGGGTGGAGTTGCCACAAGGAGACAGAACAGGCATAAAGGAGCCCTGGAGTGTGGGTACTGAATCTATCCTTAGTAGGAAAAAGAGTAAAGGCGACTGGGATTTTATTTTCTGTATACCTCCCAAATCACATAATTTTGGGAATTCTTTGAGAAAGCATTGGGCAACATCAAGACTGAATGAGCCAACTGCCAGCTGATGTTGGAGGCAGAGGTGCCATCCCTACCCCAGGGCAGCTCAGTCTGGGAGGATGTGGGCAGGCACTTGGATGGCTTTGAGAAAGAGAGGCTCAGGAGTCTGCCCTGGGCCATCTTCCCACTCTGCACACTGGATAATCATACTTTCCCAAAGCTTTAGCTGATAACCCCTGGGGCACTGCAGAAGTCTGGGCCTCTGCCAAGACGCCACTCCCACGCTGGGGCATGGACAGCCAACCGCCTCCTCCACTGCCCCTCCGGGATGACTCTAAGGCAGCTCTCATCTTCCAAGTCTACATCAAATCCCTCTGGAACTCAGGGATTCTTTGGTATTAAGGATTGAATCCAGAGGTTCAATTGAACTTCACCTCTAAGCTATGTCCCCAGCCCTTTTCTATTTATTTTGAGGCAGGCTTAGGGCCTGCTAAGTTGCTGAGGTTGGCACTGAATTTGTGATCTCCCAGCCTCAGCCTCCTGAGTCGCTGAGATTACAGGTGTGTGCTACTGCGCCCAGCTACCTGCCGTTCCCGGTGCTAAATTCTACATCCCTCCACTGCCTAGTGTCAGCCTCCTGTGTGCTTTGTGCTGAACTGTGGCCTCACAGCTCCTGAGGCCAGGATACATCCATGGTTTCAAGTCATTAAGGTGTCCTTACACCTCTTCTGTGCCTGGCTGTCTGCCATCTGTAGTTGTGAGCCCTAGAACTCCCTTGTGTGAGAACACGTTTCATGGTTCTGAGTCCCTTCTCTGCCCTCTTACCGCATCCCTTATGTAGGTCCACGCTGATGAACTCAAGGTCCCCATCATGTGGGCTCCTGCTGCCTTCTGAGTAGGCCACATGTTTGCCACTTGGGCAGTAGCGGAAGGCAAAGCCGTAGCCCACCAGAGTCACCTGTGGACATGGAGAGAGGCCATACAAATTGAAGATTAAGAGCACAAATTCTGGAGTCAGAGATTCTACTTGTGGGTGTAATTTGAAATAAACAATTCCTTTTTTTTTTTAATTTTTTTTTTTTAGTTGTTGATGGACCTTTGTTTTTATTTCTTTATATGCAGTACGTCTCACACTTGCTAGGCAAACACTCTACCATTGAGCTACAATTCCTGCCCATCCTATTCCATTAAAAAAAAAATAATAATTTTATTAGTTGTTGATGGATCTTCATCTTATTTATTTACATACGGTGCTGAGAATTGAACCCAGTGCCTCACACATGCTAGGCAAGAGCTCAACCCTACCACTGAGCCACAACCCCAGTCCAACCTATTCTGTATAGATGTTAGGTTAACTTCTAGACTTCTAAAACTAAGCCATGCTTGTAGCAAAAATGCCAAACAGCCTGGGAAGGCATGAAATGAAAAGATCCAAAACCAACATCTATTTCCCCAGGCCCGGAAACCCACTGCCCAGAGAAAAACTACTACTAGTAAGAGTATTTTAGGCATTATTCCAAATGGCTTCTTTTAAATAACCAGGTTAAAAAACATGGGCAGGGAGGGGCTCTTGCTTCTACATAGGTAACACCTTCTGTCGGGTGCCCAGGTTTCAGCACTTTAGCAGTGGTCAGGACACTGACTCAAAGCCTAAGGGTCTGGTTTAAGATGTCAGCTTAGCCCTTTGGTGCAACCTGGGCAAGTTATGAAACTTCTCTGTGTTTTGATTTCTCCATTTGCAAAATGATGATAACACAGTCCCTTCCTCAAAGGGCTGCAGTGAATTCAGCTTAACTGAATTTAAAATAAAATAAGATGTTTATCTGTGAAATACACAAAGTTGACCACATATTTTTTTACTGGCTGCTTCTTTTTGTTAAAATATTTTTTAGTTGTAGTTGGACACAATACCATTATTTTTATTTATTTATTTTTATGTGGTGCTGAGGATTGAACCCAGGGCCTCACATATGCTAGGTGAGCGCTCTACTGCTGAGCCACAACCCCAGCCCATACTGGCTGCTTCTTATTGTACCATATGGATAGTGGGTAACTTGGGTTGGTCTGTGCAAGACCCATTCATCCTCACTTCTGGTCACAGTTTGAGATGGTCAGTTTTCCATGGTAACCTGCCTGGCCCATGGGGTACCTGAACACTTGGCCAAACATTATTGGGGCGTCTCTGTTGGTGCTTCTGGATGAGAATAACATTTGAACTGGTAGATGAAGTACAGCAGATTGCCCTTGCTAACGCAGGTGGACCTCATCCATCCACGGAAGATGTGATCAGAGAGAAGAGCTGAGTAAGAGGAGATCCCTGGCTTGACTGCTAGGCATTTCTTGCCTTCGAACCTGGACTGAAATATGGGCTCTTTTTGAGTTTTGAGCCTGCTGGCCTTTAAATGGAACTTCCACCATCAGCTCTCCAGGCTTGTCCACTGAAGACCCTGGGACTGCTCGGCCTCCAAAGTCACGTGAGCCGGTTCCTAGTAAACCTCTTTATAATACACGCTTCTTGCTGGATCTGCTTCCCTGAAGAATCCTACTGAGTAATACATAGTTCTGAATTTTCCTCTGGGACTGCCCTTCCCCCACTCCCATGCCATGCTGTTCAGGGGGATTCACCTAAACTGTTTATGCTGGGGTTGCTGAGCATCAGCAATTTAAGCCTAATTTGCTAATGCCAATTTTGTCACTACGAGGGAAGAGTCTGCCTGATAGTGAGCAATGAGGAGGCAAGAAGGGCCCAGAGATGGAAGACGCAGCTTCCCAATGAAGGGCTTAAGTTCCTAGATCTAGCTACACCTGAAAATAGTAAAGTCCTAAGTTTTCGTATCCCATAGATCAAAACATTACACATACACATTCTTACTACTTTTGCCTAAGTCATGCTAAATTTGTTTCCTGAAAAAGTAAACAGAATTTACTTTAAATTACTATTTAATCAGTAATCCACAGGGAGTATTGTGTATGTACACATATACACATGAATATGTACATATATGTATACACACTTCAGGCGTTTCCCATCAAAGTTACAACCATTCTTGTCAGAAACATTTGTGCTTTTTTGTGTGTGAATATATTTTTGAAAAGTCCTATGGATATGCACCATATATTATATATACATTCCCGTAAGAGGAAATGATGGATCAAAAAACAAGAGACACTGAAAACTGTGATTGCTATCTCCAAAGTAACTTTCAAAAAGGTTGCCAGGTTCATATTCCCAACAATGTATGAAAAATTCTCTTTTCCTTACATCCTTACCAGGATTATACTATCTTTTTTTTGGTACTGGGAATTGAACCCAGGGGCACTTAACCACTGAGCCACATCCACAGTCCCTGCTTTTCTAATACTTTACTTAGAGACAGGATCTCGCTAAGTTTTTGAAGTTGGCTTTAGATTCATGATCCTCCTGTCTCAGCCATCTGAACCGCTGGGATTACAGGTGCGTGCCACTGTGCCCAGCTATATTATTGTTTTAATTTTGTCCATTCAAAGGGTGAAAATTGGTATCTTGTCTTAGTTTGCATTTCTATGATGATTAAGGAGGTTGAGTGTCTTTTTTGTATATTTGACTTGCGGATTTCTTCTTCTGTGAACTGTTTTTCCTACCTTTTGTCTGTTTTTATAGTAAGTTGCTTATCTCTTTCTATTGATTACAAGGAGTTCTTTTTAAATGATGGAAAGGAATCCTTTGTTTGCAATTAGCAGTGTGAAATAAATGGAGAGTTGGGAACTGATGGGAACCTGAGCCCAGAGACCTTTGGGGGTGAAGGGAATAAGGCTCTTACCTGGCTTAGATCTTCTGGATTCACAAAGATATTCTCGGCAGTCAGATTTCCATGAACATACTCATTTTCATGGAGAAACTCCAGTGCATCCAGCTGGGAGAAGAAAGGAAGTGTTTCTATGAGTGTCATGATGGTGCAAAGACGCTCTGAATCAGAGCCAGGTGAAGGGAATCCTCAGGCCTGGGGGTCATCCAACACTGGCTGGGGGGCTAAGCTTGCCTAATTCTGGTTGTAGCATTAAGAAGTCACTGTGATAACACACTCCAATACCTCCCTAATCAGGCTTATAGAACCTTCAGCAATAGAGTTAATGTTTGGCTTTCCATCTACTTCCATCTCATTCTCTTAGTTGACTTCATGCTCAGGAGGGAAGATGGAGTGACTAACGCCCTTCTGCAAAAATAACCCAGCACCCATGTACATAGAGTTCTGCTCACTTCTCCTACTGAGAATAGCTTAAACTTAGTTAAGCAATTTATATCTTTATCTCTAGCTCCAACTTCTGCACTGTGCAGAATGACTCTTGGCTTAGAAATCACTTCCACCAGTTAGTCTGATCCAGCCCTAAACTTCAGCTGGCTGGTGGGGGGCTCTCTCTGCCATGGCAATGCTCATCTCACCAGTACTAACTCCCTCTTTTTTCACCCACCCTGCTGGGCCTCCATGTTGGCAAACTGGAGCAGGGATGGATGTGTCAACAAATCAACAGGCTAAGAAATGAGGATGTGACGGGCCATGCCCCACACCCTGAGCAGCTGTCAGGTACATACCAGCCGGCAGGCCACCTGGAGCACACACTTCTCTGAAATCACATGCTTCGGGTTCTCATCCAGGGCTGACTGAAGGCTCCTTCCCAGTCTGGGGAACACCAAGAACCTGGAAGAAAAGTGCATCCCAAGAGGTAGAGACACAGAGGACCGCAGGCCACCCATTGAAGGCTGGCTGGAGCACCACCAGGCCCCAGAACTAGGTGAGACTAGGGCTTCTGGTTGCTGGGAACCAGCCTGACTTGAAAAGAGGGAAAGGAAGTAACTGACTGACTTGTGGCTCCAAGGTCCCAGCTATGGCAGGCACAGGCAGGGAGAGAAGGAAAGGGTCCTCCAGAGAGTGGCAGTGAGGTGACTCACCTGTACTTGTCCTGGTGAACGCCAAAACCAACACAGGTCGGGATAGCCAGGAGGGGCGCTGAGTGCAGCTTCTTCCACTTGTTCACTAACAGAGGCAGGGGCTCAGTGTTAGCCGGCCTGGTCCCAGGCAAGGAAGTAGAGTGCCTGAGCCCAGACCACGGCTGGAGCCTCCTTGTTGGAGACAACAACTTTGGGGTGGGGGATGGGGGTGGGCATGGGTGACCCATGAACATCTGTAATACATGTCTGCAGGTGACAAGAGTGAACACAGGTGACTTCTGAGAATACATATACACGTCTGGAATAAGAGGAAGGGATAAGAACAACAGGGCAACCTCTGCATTCCCATGTCCACCCCATAAGACCAATAAAGGTCCCCAATGGCCACACTCTCACTGCATTTGCCAGTGTCTCTGTAGGGTGGTACAGATCCAGTGGTGTGCTGACACAAGTTCAACACCTGTATGCCCAGGGAAAGCCAGTCCACACTAGTAGTTTTGTTCTCACACCATATCTGGGCAGAGTGGCGCATGCCCATAATCCCAGTGGCTCAGGAGGCTGAGGCAAGGAGGATGGCAAATTCAAAGCCAGCCTCAGCAACTTGTTGAGGTCCTAAGCAACTCAGTATGACTCTGTCTCAAAGTGAAAAAAAAAGTGTGGGGCTATAGCTCGGTGGTAAAGCTCCCCTGGGTTAAATCTCTATTACCAACCAACCAACCAAATAAAAAACAACCCCCCCAAACCAAAACAACAACAACAACAAAACACAAAAATAAAACAAAACAAAAAAAGAAAAAAAAAGAAAAGAAGTTCCCATCATGGCTAACTTCAAGCCAAGAGGACTGGGGCTGGGGTTATAGCTCAGTGGTGGAGTGTTTGCTTAGCATGTGTGAGGCAATGAGTTTGTCCCTCAGCACCATATAAAAATAAATAAATAAAAATAAAGGTATTTGGCCATCTACAACTAAAAAGCAACATTAAAAAAAAAGAGGATGTGACTGAATATGGACTGAGATGAAGCACAATATTTTGCGCAGTATTTTCACTAAACAGATGCAACCAATGTAAGTAACCCCAAGAGTACAAATGGTAGAACAATAGAATAAGTACGAAATGATGAATTTGCAAGTGTTTTATTAACTTTGTTTTCAGTATAACTCATTTGATTGTAAGTTTACATGATTTAATTGTTAACAGTGGCTGCGTGTAACAGCCAGCCTGCAGCGCTCCTAAAAACTTACTACTTGACTCTTGAGAGCTGGTATGAGCCTCGAGGGAGGACAGGAGTCTGGCTGTGGGCACAGAGGGGATATTAACCCACCTCACACCAGCAGAAGGCTAGTTGTGACAGACTGGCACCCCTCACTCTTTCCCTGACCCACTTCCCCATGGAATACCTTGCAGAGGCTTGGCGGCCCGTTGGAAGAAGTTCTGCTCATTGAACAGGCGCCCATCCTTGGCATCCTGGTGGGACAGGAGGGCAGAGGATGTCACACTGAACTCCCTTAGACAAGGGACCCAAGTCACCACTGATACTTCAGGGTAATGCCAGCAATGACCACATTTATCAAGTTCTTGCAGTTTATTAAGAAATGATCACATTTATCAAGAACCCAATTCTCCAGGGTGTTGCATGTGAGCACAAATCAGAGACTGAGCAATCACTGAATGCTCAAGTTTCTTTCACAACAGGATCCACAAACTTTTCCTAGACATGTGGCCTTCAGCTAACAACTACATTCCCTAGCCTCCTCTGCAAGGAGGAATGACCATATGACCAAGTTCTGGCCAATGAGTTTATGAGCAAAAGAAATGTGGGCAATTTGTAGGTTATATCCTTAAAAGGCTCTATATCCTATGAAGGCTCTCCTGCCCCAGACTTTTAAGTAAAAAAGTAATCAAATATTATTTTGCTTAACCCATTTTTTTTTTTTTTTTTGGTATGGGAGATTGAACCCAGGGGCACTTAACCTCTGAACCGCATCCCTACCCCTTTTCAATATTTTATTTAGAGACAGGTCTTGCTAAGTTGCTTAGGGCCTTACTATGTTGGTGAATTGCAATCCTCTTGCCTCAGTCTCCAGAGCTACTGGGATTACAGGTATGTGCCATGCCTGGCTGGGTCTTTTTTAAAATATCAGTGTAACCAAATATTTTAATTAAACAACTAGTGCAGTTGAGTTCTTAAGAGCACAGGGTCAAATTCAGCTAGGTTCAAACACAACCATTCTCCCCACCCCATCTCCCCCTCCCCACTCCTTTCTTTCTCCAAAGCCTCCCAGTATCCTAAGCATTGTCATGAGCACTGGGGATACAGCAGTGAACCTAGTGACTTGCATGCTGGCTGTCTCTGGTTCAGCGACTGAGTTTCCATTTCCTCATCAGTTAAATGGGAACACAACAGCCACCCTACAAGGTTATTGAAAGAATTCAAGGACATAGTGTTTGTGAAACTCAACCCAGGATCTGTCACATATGGGCTCTTAGTAACTAGGTGCTGGGCTGGGGACATAACTGTGGAAGGCAGTTTGCCTAGCACGTGTGAAGCCCTGAGTCCAATTTTCAGTACCGAAAATCATAGACAAAACCAACAAAACTAGTTGCACTGAACAGCACAGGGCCTGGCTCCCTGTCCCCATCCACCCTCCTCTTGTCCTGTGTCTTTTCTTCTCGGCTTCCTAGCACCCTCCCCACACTGTGGGCACATGCAGTAAGCACTTGGTAAGTCAGAGCTGATGTTAGCACAGCTGCTTAGGCCTTCTTTTTTTTTTTCTAGGCCTTCTTAATCTCATGTGATCTACCCCTCCCCAGGGCCCCCTTCCCTGCTAGGGAGCTCTTTGAAGGCAGGAATTAGATGCAACCCAGCTCTTCAGATGTCCCCAGTGCCAGTTTGCAGGAAGGGCTTGTTGAATGAAGGAACACTACTGGACATGAAGCACCCGCCCTTCCAAACACATCAGAGCAGACTGCCTTTCCCAAGGCACAGGAAGGCTCTGGGTGTGACCAGGCTCTGTGCTTCCTCTCCTGAGCATGTCCCCTTCCTAATGTGACTGTGATGTTGCTGTCTTTCCCCCACAGCTAGATCTGAGCCACACACAGCCCAGCACCACACACTTCTGGGCCAAAGGAAAGCCTGATCGGATGGGACAGACAGACGCATCAGGAGCAGATATGCTTGTGCCACACTTATGTGGGGTGGTGATGACAGTAGCTATAATGACAGGAATAGGTCACTGTGTGCCAGGTGCTATCTGAATGGTGCAGAAAACAGTTAAATGGGGACTCTGTGTTAATCCCATAAGACTTGGGGCAAGTTGAGTCAATTCAACAAAGTGGTGCTTGTGAAATTCTGGGGCCAGGCACATAACCAGCTCTCAAGAGCACATGTGACCTGTCATCAGTGAGTCAAGCCCCAGAGCCATGCTCCAAACCACCAACACAGCCTGTGTCTAGGGCTGAAAGGGGACACTCAACCCAGCTGTCCTTGGTTTTCCGGGTACAAGTTCAGCGAAGGAAATACAAGTTGCCATGATGCCAGCTACTCAGGGTTGAGGAGGAGGCTGAGCACCATGGTGATGCCCTCTTAATAAGCACCTGCACTGTGCTGAAGGCCACTCTCACCCACGTGGCTGGTGGCTGCTCTCGCTTTCTCCCTTTACTCCTTCCTTTGGGCCACCCCTGAACACATGCTTCTTGTCTGCTGAGCCTTCTGTTAATAAGCACACACTGTGGGTGATTTCACTGAATCCTCAGTGCAGGGACCCCATCTGATGGGTTCTTTGCTGGACTCTGACATCCAGAACAATGCCACATAATAAATGTGTGCCAGGTATGAGGCTGGCAGTAGTAGGCAGGTAAGCCACAAGATGTGTTATTGACACTGATAAGGGGATGTGCTTGCCTGAGTTACAAGGCCAGAAAATGTCATATGCAGGGCATGCCTGAACACAGGTCTCCTAGAAGCCTGAGATGAGGAACCGGGAGCCTGCCTGTCCAGGGTCCTGCCATTATTGACGGGTCAGGGGCACCCTGGCTCCAGCCGAACTCTCCTGCTCACAGACAGAGTTGATGGTGCATCTGCAAAATCCCAAGCCCTCCCCTCTGAGCTGCTCCCCCATCAGAGGCCACTCACCAGTTTGAGTGAGAATCTGTTTTTACAGGGCTTTGACCCACAGGCAAGGGCAGAGGTAGGCTCAGCTGTGAAGAAACAGAAACAATGAGCAAGGTCCAAAACTGAGGAGAAAGTCAAGGCCATGATCCGCAACCTTCCCAGCCATGGGAAGCAGTCCTAGTTCTTGGGTTCCCACAGGCAAGTGCATCCTTGCCCTCCTCACCTGCTCCTTCCTATTGTCAAACAGCTCCTTTCCTGCTTCCACTTTCTCTCTGCGAATGTCCAGCTGTGCAGGAAAGGGTTAACACTACAGGTCTGAGACCTTCCAAGGTCTGAAAACTGAATTTCAGGAGGGTGCCTAGCATTCCCTAACTGATGAGAGGGGCTCACTTGGCCTAAATCATTTGTGCATCAGTGTGGTTTAGGCTGAGCACCTGCTGTCCTTCTGGGAGTCTGGGATTTGGGTATGAGTTAGGCAAAGGCCACCTGACTAGCCCCCATAACCACCCTGGGCCCTGAGTCTCTGATAGGCTTCCTTAATGGACAACAATTTCTATGTGCTGTTCCAGCTTATGGCTGAGAGAATTCAGTGTATCTTCTGCAGTAGCTCCATCCTAGGCCACATCCTGGGTCAACCTATATCCAATGATTGATCAAGGGACATAAAAGCCCAGCCATTCTGCTAACATGGAACATGCTGGAACACCTGTTTTGCACTGGAGCCCATTAATTCATTAATCCATGAATGGCGGGACACACAGCCCATACCCGAGAGCAGAGTCCTCCTGTGACCTGATCACCTCTTAAGGTTACCACCTCGTTCCACCTCTTAACTACCTCACAATGGGGATTAAATTTCAATATGAATTTTGGCAGGGACATTCAAACCATAGCAGAGTGACTGCTAAAAGGCATTGGATTTCCCTCCCTCCCTTCCTTTTTTGTGATACTGGGGATTGAACCCAGTGCCTCACACATGCTAGGCAAGCATTCTACCACTAGGCTATATCCGAGGCCTTAAAAAAATTTCTGTTTGGGCTGGGGATGTGGCTCAAGCGGTAGCGCGCTCGTCTGGCATGCGTGAGGCCCGGGTTCGATCCTCAGCACCACATACAAACAAAGATGTTGTGTCCGCCAAATACTAAAAAAAATAAATATTAAAAATTCTCTCTCTCTCTCTCTTTAAAAAAAAAAAAAAAAAAAAAAAAAAAAAAAAAAAATTCTCTCTCTCTCCCTCTCTCTTTAAAAAAAAAAAAAAAATTTTCTGTTTTTTTCTCACTTGAGACAGTCTTGATAAGTTGCCCAGGCTGGGCTGTAACTTGCGATCTTTCTGTCTCAGCCTCCTGAGTAGCTGGGCTGAGGGGTGTGCGCCACCATGCCCAGCTGGTACTGGATTTCTTTCTGGGGTGAGGGAAACATCCTGGAATTAGAAGGTGGAGGTGGCTGTACGACATTGTAAATGTACTAAAAGCCACTAAATTTTATACTTTATGTTATATGAATTGTATCTTAATTAAAAAATTTCAGGGCCGGGGTTGTGGCTCAGTGGTAGAGCACTTGCCTACCATGTGTGAGGCACTGGGCTTGATTCTCAGCACCACATATAAATATATAAAATAAAGGTCCATCGACAACTAGAAAAAATATTAAAAAAAAAAAAAAACTATGAACAAAAAGGGCATATAAAAAAAAGAGCCTTGTGTATGCAGTCAATGAATGAATGTTAGGTATCATCCATACCAACAATACTGCCACCCTTACTTTCTTCATTGTCACAGAGTCTGACTCCATTGTTTGAGGTTTGACAACAAACAGCTTTTAAGCCCCGCCCCTTCTGGCCAACAACTGGGTAAGCTGCTATGAAAGCCTGGGTGCTCCCTCTTTGGAGCTGGCAGAAGATTCAAACTTTGCCAGGCACTGGCTCACCCCAGCCCCACCCCTAGCTGCCTCTTTCCCTTACTCTCCCAAGGTATGAACTCCTCTTCACCAGACCCCAACTAAGTAAGCAATAAACCTATCTTCTTGGTGTGGATGACATCACCAATCTCAACATCCTACCCAAGTTCTGGGTGGGGACACAACTGTCTCTGCAGGGTGAGCATGACAGTGACCTTTTCATGTGGTTACTGGGCCTGCACTCCTAATGTCAGCAGTCAGAATCATGGGGCAGCACACTTTTCACACAGGCAGACGCTCTCGACTGGCTGCAGGCCTTGCCACTCTGTCTTCTTACTCACAGACTGCTGCATTCACTCAGGTGGGTAACTTTTCAGTCCTGAGTCTAAAACAAAGTTGCCTGGACACAGGTCTGCAGCTAGAGTCATGGCTCCATCACCATTCTCCAAAGGGGATCGCCCTCTCTGGTCTGTCCTGGTGTTGAAGTGGCCCAGTGTGGCCAAGGCCCTGGTTGACTGGACAGAGTACCTTCATAGAGAATGCCCTGGTCATTCCTCGTCTGGAGGGTCCCCAGCTTCCAGTGCTGCCCATTCTTGTCCGTCAGCTCTGTCCCCGGGGGCAAAGCCTCAAGTGAGGTGGTCACCCGGCTTCGCCTCAGGGTCTGAGGGCTTTGCCTGGTAGACTGTGGGCTGCTTTTGGGGGTCGGGAGTCTTCTGCAGGCCCCTGCAAGAGGATGGTCTCGAAAAAGCCAAGGCAGTATCAGGAAACGAAAGTCAGTGCGGATGAAACAACACGCATGGCACTGTTTGCCGACCCATTCACTGGGCAAATGCTTTCAGGTACTTCTATGGGTCAGGTCCTTTGTAACGACACTGGGGGCTTAGACATGAGTCAGGCCTGGACTCTTCCCTCAGGAGCTCCCCGTGTGGTGGGGAAGTCTAATCAAGATACAGCCACTTGAGTAGAGTCTGAGAAGGGGCAGTACTGAGGGATATTAGGGCCAGAGAACAAAGGCTGACTGCTGAAGGAGTTCAGGGAGGCCTCCTAGAGGAAGGGAGGTTAGAGTTGAGCCTTGTTAGATGAGTAAAAGTTTTCTATGAAGAAGAGGACATTCCAGATGTTCACTCCAAAACATCCTGAAACAGGCTTGGCCTTGTACTGAGTATTAAAAGGCCTGGAAATGGTTTGACAAGTCCCTGCCCCAAGAAGAGAGTGGGGTGGTGGGACTGACATTGACACAGGGAAAGATAACACCACCTACCCTCCTCCTCCTCCCCCTCCTCCTCCTCCTCCCCACCACCCCTCAAGGCACACGTGGACAAGAGGCTCTGGGTCCTGGAAGGAAGGAGCCAGGATATGGCTGGGGAGCCAGTGCTAAGGACATAGGCCTGTGGTCTTCAAGCTTCCCTAGTGCTGGCAAGCACAAATGAGTCATGTTTGGTCCCAACCTGTGAAGGACGCCCAGCCTGAAAGGGACGTGGAGCCTTGAGTGACACAAACATGCACATGAGGGCAGCCTTAGGCACTGAGGGTGCAGGACAGAGGCTGGAAAGGCTCTGTGGGGGCGATGACAGGAGGCCTCTGCATGAGCCTGCTGTGCTCAGGAGAGGGTTCCCAGGATGGGTCTCTTGAGTGTTGGAAATGAGGTGCATTCAAGGGCAGAGGAAGATGACGGCTCTGGGCCAAGGAACAGACTCAGCAAAGACCCGAGGCTGAAAATCCCTCCAAGTGAGTCTTCTGTGCACAGGGCTATGGTGAGCACTGAGGCAGGAACCAGGCCATCTGGACACCAGGCTGAGAGCAACAGCAGGGAGAGACAGGGACAGCTCTGGGTGGTGAGGTAAGGCACCTCCAGAGCCAGGTGGTGATGGAATGAGGGGGCACCTGAGGCTGGGGAAGAGGCTGTGCAAGGGGAGATGACGTTCCAGCTGGAGCTATGGAGGCTTTGTCCCAAACACTGTCAGACAACCCATCTTTCCTGTCTAGAATCAGATGAACCCTGACTCTTACCTTTGGGTCTCTCAGGGGAATTCAAGGTATCTTCAGACTCAGTGTTGTCACCATCCACGAGAACGGATGATTTGGGAGAGGTGGCAGTGCTTGACCACTTTACTTTCTTGGGAGGAATTTCAGAACTGGAACTCAGTTCTCTCCTTGAGCCTAGAGAAGTGGAGAAATGCACACTGGAGTTACACAGGCCCTAAATTGGACCACAGAACCTTTCCTTTCTCTCTTTTTTTGAAACAGGGTCTTGCAGAGCTGTGGATGCAGCTCAGAGGTCAAGCATTTGCCTAGCATGTACAAAGTCCTAGTTTCGATCCCAGCATTGAAAAGACACAGGGGGAAAAAGAGTCAAGGATTGAAATAGGGTCTCATGGTGTTGCCTAGACTGGTTTCAAACTCCTGGGCTCAAACGTTCCTCCTGCCTCAGCCTCCTGTGTAACTGCTACAACTCTTCTCCTTTCAGGTATTACTAACTTGGCCAGCATGATTAGGCCCTGAACTACTGGAAGGCCTCCCAGCTGGTTTCCACACCTCCAATCAGTTTTCCACACACAGCAGCCAGAGAAGTCTTTTCAAAAATGCAGATCATACCATATCACTTACTCTGTGGAAACTCTTCCACTGCTCTCCACTATACCCACAGTTAAGACTAAACTTCTTACCCAGATCAACACAGAACTGGACCACTTCTTAACACCTCCCTGTCCACCCTGACCATCGCACCTCATGAGAAATCAGGCTGCATGTCTGCCCCCAAACTACACTGTTCTGCGTGCCTCCACTCTGCCTTGCTCCCCACACCCAGTCTCTCCCCATTCCAAGCCCTCCCTCACTCACTCTTCACCTAGCTAATTCTTTTTTATCCTTAGGTCTTGGGTGAAACATTTACTCAACTGGGGAGGCTTTTCATGATCTCCCCCAGAAAATGTCCCCAACTTCTGAGCAACCAAGTCTGTGCCGGACACAGTCCTGGGTGCTGTGCAATGCAAACAGCAGATTACAAAAATCACAATCTATGCAGGTTACAAAACACACAATGTTCCTGTCCTATGGAGCTGACCGACAAGAAGTAATAAAAATATGTAAAATCTTGTGTCTAATCCTGTCACAAGGACCAAAGAAAATGTAAATCAGGAAAGGGGGATAGGAAGATGTGGTCTTATTAGGGGTGTCAGGGATGGTGCCTGTGAGAAGGCAGCAGCTGGGCTGGGGCTGGGACTCGGAGGCAGAGCACTTGCCTCGCATGTGTGAGGCCCTGGGTTTGATCCTCAGCACCACAGAAAATAAAGGCCTGCTGTCCATTCACAATTACAAAAAATTAAAAAAAAAAAAAAGAAGAAGAAGGCAGCTGAGTAAAGACCTGAAGGCAACGCGGGACACACAGGCAAAGGAGGGAAGGCCCACCCACCCAAGGAACAGCAAGTGTGAGGGTTCAGAGGCCCAGGCCTGGAGGAGGGGAGGAAGGTGGTTAGGGGACTGACACCATCCAAGCAGCAGCAGAAGGGTAGGAGGTGACGTCTGGGAAGGACTGGGGCCCAATCATGTGTGGCCTCACATGGAAGATGGGGAGCAGAGGAGTGACAGGATCTGGCTGTCTTAACAGGAACCCTCAGTGCCACACGAAGAGGACTGAAACAGGGACAAGAAAAAGAGAGCCCAGAGAAGAAGGCTTCTGCAACAACATAGGTGAGAGGTGAGGGCAGGGTGGGCAGGGTGGGTGTGAGGAAGTGATGCTGCTGCTGTTTAAAAGGGAGCACCCACAGGGTGTGCTGAAGGGTGGCGTATGAGGGAGGCCTCCTGGGTGGCCCCAGTTTCTGGCCTTGGAAACAGGATAAATGGAGTTACTGTTTGCTGCTTCTAGGGAGTGGGTAGACGTGGGTAGCAGTGACATCAGGACCTCAGTTCTGGGCATGGTCAGGCTGAGATGCACATGGGACAGCTGACAGATGTCAAGCAGGCAGTCTGCTCTATGAGTTCTGGGGTTCAGGGAAGGAGTGCAGGCTGGAGACAGAAATGCATGAGTTGTCAAAAGACAGACAGAATTTAAACTACAGGGGGGACAAGACCCCAGTGGACTGCTGAGGGATGTGTATAGAGCTGTCCAGGCCTGAGCCCTGAGCTTCTGCAGGGTCCAGGCAGGGTCAGAAAGGCTGAAAAGGGTCTGTCCATCCTGAAAACTTACACACATCCACATATGTCTTACCCCACTGCAGGGACACTCAAAGTCCTGGTTCTTACCTCGGAAGGACAACTCAAGTGGCTTGGCAGAGGTCTGGGATGCTGCATGCTCCTCAGTAGGCAAAGGTTTTCCACAGTAGGGGCAGAATTTGAAAGCTGCTTCAATATTTCGGCCACAGTGTGGACAGAAGGAGATCATGCTACAAAATAGAAAGGGACAGGGATGAGGAGCTGAAAGAAAAAGCTAATCCACAGCTGACAGGTGGTCATCAGAGTCCTATGGTGAAGGGGAGAGAAGTTGTCACTCTCGGATCCTGCAGGAGGCCACTTCTGAAATCAGTTGTTACCCATTGTGCTGAGGCTTTAGCTACTTGTCCTTCCCTAATGACCCAAGGACAAAGCAGACCAAATACAAGCAAGTGGCAGACTTCCCAGGAGTAGTGGATGCCCTGAGGTCCTGCAGAGTTGTGTCAGAAAACTGCTCCCATCAGAGCGAGCACCTGTGTAGAATGCACACCCAGGGTCTTCAACCGCATCTGTGATGCTTATTTTAAAAAATAATTAAAAAAAAATTTTTTTGAATTAGGGATTGAACCCAGGGGTACTCTACCACTGAACTACATCCCCATCTCAAAATTTTGAAACAGGGCCTGACTAAATTGCTGAGGCTGGCCTCAAACTTGTGACCCTCCTGCCCCAGCCTCCCAAGTTGCTAGGATTACAGGTGTAGGCCACCAAACCTGGTTTGATGCTTATTTCTTAAACCACACAATGGGGCCAGGGGGGACTGTATCCCCAAATATCCACATGCTCCCCTACATTTCCCAGCCACCCTTACAGCTATGTTAGGCACATATGACTATTTCTGGCCAAAGGGGTGTGGGTGGAAGTCATCTCCTGGCTAAAGCATCTCCTCCATCTATCCCGCCTTGGAGATCACGTATCCCAGGTAACATAGCAACATGACAAAGGAAAGCTGCCTGATTCACTCTGGGATCTCATGATTGATAAAGACAACTATGTATGAAGTCACAAAGATTTCAGGCTTTATTAGTTTCTAGAATAACGAATTCTGACTAATTTAGTGGGACAATGGTTATTCATTACATTATTTGCTATGCTTGGTGTATCATTGAAATGGTTCCTGATACTTTTTGAAAATTAAAAACAAAACCATACACAGGTCTATGACAAACGAGGATATGGCAGGGCTGGAGCAGTTAATAAGTGAAAATCAACTAGAATGACGGTGCTGTGGGCATTTCTTTTTTTATCTTTTTGGTACTAGGGATTGAACCATGGGGCGCTTTACCACTGAGCTACATCCTCAGTCCTTTTAATTTTTATTTTGAAACACTAAGTTGCTTAGGAACTTGCTTAGTTGCTAGGGCTGGCCTCAAACTTGAGTAATCTTCCTGCTTCAGCCTCCCAACTCACTGGGATTACAGGTGTGCCCCACTGTGCCTGGTGTGCAGAGGGCATTTCAAAAATTTTTTTTCCTTCATACATATAAACTTAGCTTTTACTTTTGAAGCAAAATTCAGAACTCATGTCTCCATAGGATGACTATAACTGAACATCTTTTAAGTAGAGAGAGAGAGGGAGGGAGGGAGATGAGAGGGAGAGGGGGAGAGAGACATTTTATTTGTTCTTGTATTCTAAGATTTAGTGTATGGCAGCAATTAAAAGTTGAAATATCAGAAGCCAAATGTGTGTGTGTGTGTTCATGATTTCATTTTACCTTGTACTGTGGTTAGGATTAGTATGTTCCAAAGTCCATACATTAAAGGCTTGGTCCCCAAGGTGGTGCTACTGGGAGGTAGTGAAACCATTAGGAGGTGGGGCCAAGGAGGAGATCTTTAGGTCACTGGGGGTCTTTAGGTGCCCTTGAAGGGGACTGTGGGAGGTCAGCCTCTCCCTTTTTCTCTTTACTTCCTCACTGATAATGAAAGGGTTTTGCTCTGCCAGGCACACTTGGCCATTGTCATCTGACACACCCTCCAGAGGCCCAAAGCCATGGGCCATTTACCCACAGACTAAAAGTTCCAAAACTGTGAGTTAAATAAATCTTATCTTTTGTAAGTTGATTATCTCAGGTATTTCATTATAGCTAACACATCTTACAATGTAAATTTCTAACTAAACCCTTTTCCTTTAGTCAAAGTCAAGGTTGGTTTTCTGTTGCAACTGTCAACAGTGGTGTCCTTGAAATCACAGACTTTGGTCCCAGGTGCACAGGATGTGAATTCCAGACTTGCCCAGGCTGAGAAAGTTCCTTAGCCTCTCTTTGTCTCTGTCTGCCTAGACAATACAAAATGTCTAGTGCCAGCACCTGTCTGACAGAAAGATTGTTGAAGTCTAGTGGATACTTATATCAAGTGCTGAGAACAGGGCCTAGTCACTGAAAAGCTTTTCTCCTTTTTTTTTTCCCTTTCCAGTGCTGGGCATCAAATCCAGGGACTCACACATGCTAGGCAAGTTCTCTGTCACTGGCCACACCTTTATCTTGAAAGCTTTTAAGCACTATCTTATTATATTCCATTTGTTAACATTTCTATCCTTTCCCTTTTCTCTTTCCATACTGTAATTTCAGAGCTTCTTGGGCCTCTGTTTCCTTTAAGTGATGACATACAGAATTAGAGATCTTTTTTTTTTTTTAAGAGAGAGAAAGAGAGAGAGAGAGAGAGAGAGAGAGAGAGAGAGAGAGAGAGAGAATTTTTTAATATTTATTTTTCAGTTTTCGGCAGACACAACATCTTTATTTTATTTTTATGTGGTGCTGAGGATTGAACCCAGCGCCCCGTGCATTCCAGGTGAGCACGTTACCGCTTGAGCCACATCCCCAGCCTCAGAATTACAGATCTTTCTCTTGAAAACCACAGGCCATCCATATAGCTAATGAAAGAAATCTCAGGAAAAAAAAAGAGTTTCTCCTTCTCTCAGGCTACAGAAGTGCAGAAATCATACTCTGGTATAAAAGGGCTCTTCTGCTATTTCAAACAAAAGAGCTGTGTAAGACACCTGGTCTGCAAAGACCACTGTCAAGTACCCTTTTCCTTTCCAGTAAGGAGGGGTGTAATTCTGAGTGATTGTCTTAGTGATGGTTGTTCTGGCAGTAACATTTAAATCACATCTGTCTTCTCAAAGGTGTAAACACTGGGGAGCATCTGTTTAGCCACAGGACTCTCTGCCTTTCCCCTTCTTCCTTTAGGCAAGCCTGAAGGTCAGGTGTTGATGCTGGAGCCACGAGATCAAAGCTGGATATACAGTTGTCCAAACTTTGTATTAGTGAGGAAAAAACTTGTGTTTGTGTTAAGCTACTGAGATTTGGAGGTTATTTATTACTATGGAAAAGACTAGCCCAGTCTGACTAATAATACACAAACACACCATGGGATTTCATATGTAAACAAAAGGATGGTTTAGAAATCTGTGGTGGTGTTAAGTGGCTTCATGTTAAGTGGATTTTCCCCAGGGGCCAGTGCCTGGGATAAAAATGGACCCCCAGGAAGGAACAAGTGCCTAACCAGGTAAGCCCTGCCACACTAACAATAACACTCCTCCTAGGAAGGAAGTCTGCTGGCTGCAACAGAGGTGAGACAGCAGGAGTGGGTTACTGGTGAACCAGCCTCAACGGTCACATGCCTGAGGGGATGGTACCTTTATAGGGTCGCAGTCTGGCTCTGGATTCACTGGCTTGGAAATTTCATCTTGATAGTAGCCTAGAAGTGAACAAATGTGGAAACAATGACTTGGACTCGGTTCAATTCACAAATAAGTGAAAGATAATATTTACTGAGCACCGGCCATGCGGCCAGTATGTGCTAAGTCTATTCATTCATTCATTCATGCAGTAATAACCTATGGAGGTCCTAGTTCTTTCAGCCTTTAGAAAGGAAACAAACACAGCCCCTGACCTCAGCAAGCTCACAGTCTGGTGGGAGAAGACAAGCTAATAAACATGTGAGCAAGTAACTGTTGAACAGGTCGGGAAGAGATAGCACTAAGGAGGACAACAAAGTACCTCAGGAGAAAAAGGGTGCCAAGGGGGTTGGCAGGTCACTGTTTACACGGGGTGGTCAAAGGGGACATCACTGGGAGGGGCAATTGAGCGGAGATCTAAGGGAAGCCACAGAGTGGGTCATGGACATCTGTGGAGGGTCCCTCCAGGCAAAGAACTTTCTGTTACCTGATTTAGTCCACATCACAGCCCAAAAGGTAGGTTCTGAAAATTATTACCCATTCTTTTTCTTTCTTCCTGAGCTGGGGATGGAGCACAGGGCCCTTAAACTCTACCACTGAGTTATGCCCCCAGCCCTCTATAGGAGAGTGTGGCATCTATACTTTCCAAAGACAGCTGTGGCAATATTTCTAGTCTTGTGTGCTCTTCGGAAAAGGTAACCCTTTCCACTAAGAAGCAGGGCTCTGAACCCTTCCTTTTGGATCTGAGGCCTACAATTGTTCCTACCAATAAAGATGGGCATAATTATGTAATGACATGCCCACTCCAAGGCCAGATCATGCACCTGGCTGGCTCATTCAGGATGCTCCTGTGTGGAACTGGGTTTCCATAATATGAGGCAGCCTAAAGTAGCCCACAGACTTCATGGAGGGGCCCAGATGAAGAGGAATTGACCCTCACACAACAGTCAGCATCAGCCACTGGACATACAAAGAAGCATGTCTTCTGGCTAATTGATATTCCAACTTTGGAGTCTTCCTGCTGTGGTCCCAGATGTCATGCAGCAGAGACAAGCCAGCCCCACCTGCTTGCTCTGAAACCCTGACCCACAGAACCCATGGCCATGACAAATGACTGTTTACAGAACTGCATTTTGGGATAATTTGTTCCATAACTGGAACAAAGAATAACCTGAAGCACAGAGAGGTTTAATTGCTTATTTAACAATAGCTCCCAACTCATGAGTTCAACATATGTAGATTGAAATCTTCACAATCACCTTTCACAGAAGAATAACTTTTCCCTTTAAGATGTGGAAGGAGAGGCTCAGAGAGGGACAGTGATTTGACCAAGGCCATACAGCTCTTCAAGTGGCAGATCCAGAAATATTATTTTAATTTCCCACCAACTTTATAAGCCAGGGATACGCATCTCATACTCGAGACTTACAAACTGCTGCTCAAAGACTATGCACCTAGAAAGCAGTAGGGACAGAACTCAAATCTGGACCTATAAAGTTCATGTTCTCAACCAGCACAAATTCATAAAACAAAAACAAAAACTTCACTGGTTCTTGGGCTGCAGGTCAGAACATTCTTTCAGTCTTTAATCTGAAAGCTGATGCTGTGTAGAACTGAGCCAGGAGGAATACTGGATTTTTTCAACCACAGACATCTGCCTGTCCCCTACTCTTACACTGTCACCAGCCTCGTCTCAGCCACTTCTACCTTGTGCTATTACAGTCACCAGTAATTCTAACTAGAATTCCTGCTTCTACCCTCATCCCTACAGTCTATTCTGAAAGCAGCAATTAAATCTTAGACCCTGTCCTTCCTCTGCTCAACACCTTCCAGTGGCTTCCATTTCAGACAGTAAAAGTCAAAATTCTTAGCCCATAAGGCCCTACATGATCTCCCATGTCCCACTCTCACTCTGACCTCTCCCATACACCCTTGCTCACTCTAAGCCAGCCACACTGGCCTCCTTGCTTTCCCCCAAAACATGACAAGATCTTTCTGCCCCAAGACCTTTGCGTTTGTTCTCACATCTTCCTAGAATGTTTTCTGCCCATGTCATGCTCATGCCATCACTTTCTCCAGTTCTCCCTTCATATGTCACCTTTCTGGACAGATCTTTTTTTGATACTACTCATAGTACACACTATCCTCCTCCCACCATTTCATTTTTCTTCGTAGTGCTTGTCACCACCTGACATACTCTAACTTCCTTATTGCTGACTCCTCTGAATAGGCTGGTAAGCTTCAAGATGGAAGGTTTTGTTTGCTTTGCTCACCACAGTACACCCAGAGCCCAGAACAGGCTGAAACCCGAGGCTCCAATCCTCAGGCGAGCCATCCATTTATTTTACTTATTCAATAAAATTTTATTAACATCTACTATGCGTCAACTACTATGTTCCTCCTAGATTCCAAGACGCAACAGAGCAAGAGGGCTTTTAAAGGCTAGACTCCATCCTAAGCGCGGAGGGACAACAGCCTAGGTGACAGTGACATGTCGCCCGCCCCCTTCTCAGAAAACCAGGGCTGACTTAGCTGCCAAGGCGGAGCATCTGTCAACCCCCAGATGCTTAACCTTAGCCACGCCCACCAGCGTCCAAGGGGGCTGGGGTCCTAGCGCGCGGAGAGGTTCCGCAGCCTCTCTAGTCCAGGCCCCAGGGCGAGGGGGCTCCTCTTCCCAAGAAGGGTCGTGCTGAAGTCACAGGCTCCACAGCCGAGCTGACTCCGAAGGAAGCCAGGAACTTCCCTCACCTCTGTACTTGAGAACAGGGGTGGGCGCCAGAGTTTCTGCCGTCAGAGCCGCAGGAAGTGGGACTCACCTTCTCATTGCCCCAAGGAAACTTCCTCTGGCGCCGGAGACGCTGCGCACGCATCCTCTTCCTGGAGGCCGGGCTCCCGAGCAAGCGCAGCGACCTCCAAACTACCCCCGGGCTGTCTACCTGGGAACTCCATTTCCCAGGTGCCTTCGCGGCAGATCAGCCGTCTAACCCGGCTAGGGAGAAACTCCCTCGTCGCTTCCACCCTCTTCGGAACTCCACTTCATCCCACTGCGCATGAAGCCAATCAAGATAAACTACTTGGCATCTCCCCATCAATCAAAGGTTACCTCTTTAACTCCGCACGTCTTTTTGGTAACGCCAACCGCTTCCTCCGCGTCTTTCCATGGCAACCTCGGGTTGTTTCCTTTATAAGTAGAAATTTCCGGAAAGGCAGAAGAAGGTTAAGTCGATCCTTTAACAGGGTCTACAAAACCGTGGTTTCACCTAGTCCAGATCGGAATCTATTCTATTTCCCAGGGTGCTCTACGGGGGCCTCCAAGGTCAAAGAGGCATGTGGGGCGGGGAAGCCAAGCGCGGGCGCGCGCACAGCCCTCTGGGAAATAGAGTCCTGGCGCTTGGCGCGGAGGAGTCTGGGTAGAATAGCTGGGAAGTGTCGCTGGGTTCCGGAAGTTCCCGTGAAGAGGCGCGCGTGAGAGGAGTTAGGTTTATTTCTCCTACCGAGCTGGGGTAAGTCTGTTAGCCCGGCGGACTGCTATCTCGAGGTACGCAAGTGTCGTGTCCGGGGTCGCTGAGAACCCTGGAGACTCGTGGGCTCGGTTCTTCCCGAGGGGCGAGGCTGTACTATTAGCGCAACTTAGGCAAAAATCTCGTCGCCTTGGGCGGTGGAGGTCTTGATGGAATCTTGAACCCTTAAGTCAGATTCTTCCTAAAGTGAGACGAATGATTCTATTTAGTTGAGGAGACCGGGCGAAAAAAGAGGGACTAGGTGTCTAAAGGCGGCAGGTCTGGGCAGGATCTTGAGGAAGAAAGGGAGTTCTTGAGGATGTCCAAGAATTGAACGTTGACTGGAGCGCATTCTGTGCCCAGGCGCGGTGCAGTCACAGCAGCACTAAGACATAGCGCAGGTCCTCGCTGTCCTCGGATGCGTTTGGCACCAAGATCATCTCGGGAATCAGGGTTTTTCGGATTTTAGAAAGACAGTATTTCACAACTAGGCAACATACTGGCTGAATCTGGAACAGTGCTTGTGTCATCCAAGTTTTCTGCGTGGGGTCGGGGAAAGGTGTATACGGACTTCCACTGACTGGAAAGAAGATTATATGTAGTCGGTGGCAATCCAGGTTAGGATTTCCTGTCAATTTATGAATGAATTTCAGGTTTTCAGGGACTTTAGGTTTTGGAATTGTAGAGAAGGGACTGTGAATCTGTTGCAGTAGCCCCATTTGGAACGTGTGGCAACTAAAGTTCAGGGAGAGTAAATGATATAACCATAGACCCTCATTAAGAAGGTGGCAAGACTCCCAGACTCCTGGGTGGGTACCTTGGGCTTCATTCAGAGGCCCCACTCCCCATTTCTTCCCTTTCAGGTCTAAGAGTATATGAAATGGGAACAGAACTGTGATTTGGAAATTGCCTCAAACTTGGATGTTGGTGAGAGTGCGGTAGTTAAGGTGAGGACTGTGGGGTGCAGGGAGCACTTCCATCTAAAGGGGGAGCTCTAAATGGGCTCCAGTGAACTCGATTTGTGGGGATGCAGACCCAGTGATGCCAAATTGTAGGGTGTTTCAGAAGCTGAAAATCTCATTTTTAGGTGAAATTTACCAGTTTTCAAGTTTTGTTAAACTATGTTGTTTAAGGAATAATGACAATGAAAACGTCTATGTGTTTGGTACAGATGCAATTTAATTTAATTTATTTATTTTTGGTGGTGCTGGGGATTGAACCCAGGACCTTGTATGGGAGGAAAACACTCTACCAACTGAGCTATATCCCCAGCCAGAGATGCAAATTTTTTTTCAACTATTTTCTACCTGAGGTTGATTGGATCGAAGGACACAGAACACACAGATATGGAGAGTTGACTGTCATTTCTGTTACTGTGGGTCGTGGTTTAAAAAAAAAGTTTCAGAAATATTGCTGTTGTAGAATAGCAACAGCTTTGGAGGCCAGCTCACCTGGCTCAAATCTTAGATATTATAATCAAGAAATCCCAGAAGCATGGTCCCATTGATTCAGTTAGAGACATTTGTTATGTCAACAATTATTTTAAAAGCCCCTGCTATACAACAGGCACTGTGCTGGTGCTAAGACACAGCCGAGAGCAAAATCAAAGGTCCCAACAAAGTATAGACTCTCATTGCCAGATCTCACAAACATCTATAAAGTAAGTACTAAGCATGGTTATGAGGTTGTTTTACAAGTTCTGAAGTGCAATGGAAATGTGGGGCTGGAGTAGTTTAATTAAATGTAATTGTTGTTGATTCCTAAAGGGAGAATCACTTCAGAAGTCCCGCCCACTTCTGAACATTTGGGGGCTCATCCAGCATGGACAGGGAGTCAACTGTAGAAGGAAGGGAGAGTTTCTTACAGCTCCCTTCCTGCAGCTCTGCCAGCTGGGAACATGGAAGGGAAGGAGGAGGAGCTTGAAAGAGGTTACTGGGACATGGCGGCTATGGATGAGGTAAGTTGAGGGTTCCTTTATCTTAATTGATTACCCTCAGAAGAAATCCAGCCTTCCTTTGTACCCTGCTTGCTGTTCCATGGTGGCTCCCCAGTTGTCTTTTTATGGTAACGTTTCATACCGTTGCTGTCCTGCTATGGAATCCTTATTGCACTGTTGCTTACAGGTTAAAATGCCCACTCCTGCATGACCTGGTTTCTGCCTGCCTCTCCAGCATCTTCTGTCATTTTTCCAGATAACCAGTACTCCATTTCTGATCTGATGGTAAAATGTTACACTGTACTTTCCAATCTCTCTGCCTTTGCCTGGGCTATGCCCTCTGCTAGAATATCCTGCTGTTCTTGTTTGTGGTAACATGTTATGCAGCCCTCAAGACCCAGCTCATCTCCCCATCTTTCCCAAGGCAGAGTCAGCTTGTCCTTATTCTGGCCTCCCTTCCATGCTCTGATGACTCCTCTGTAGCATAAATCCACCTGTCTCTGCCCATATTGTCAGCCCCACAAGAGTACATGCTCCTCAGGAGAGGAGATGATTGGGATTCATCTCTGGATTGCCAGGGCCTAGTACAGGCCAAGCACACAGCAGGCTTTTGAGGTGTTTGTTGCGTGAATGAATGCTAAAAACTTCTCTACCTGGTTAATATCTGCTTGTCTTTAATGGTCCAGTTTGAATGTCCTCCACTACAGGAAGCTTGGCTTTATCCCATGGTAACTTTCCCCCTCCCTTCCAAGGTTTATATAGCCCTGATACCTCCCTTTGTCACAGCCCTGCCACCTCAGCTTATCATCTAGCATCCCTGAGTCTCCATCAGACAGTGAACTCCTCAAGGCCAAGGCCCAGGTCCTTGTCCTGACACAAGACCATGTCCCCAGCATCACAGTGGGATCTGGCACACAGGAGAAATGTTTGTTGAATGCATGCTCTGACCTTTTAACTCTCCCTGTATAAAGCCCTCTGTGGCTCCCTTGAGCCCCAGGGTTCAAGTCCCTGCTTCTGTCATGTACACCTTCCAATGTTGTTCCAAGGATCCCTATCCAACACATTCTAGGAGTCTGTTTAAGTCAGCATTTTCACTGCCATGACCAAAAACCTAAGAAGAAAATTAGAGGAGGGAAAGTTTATTTTGGAATTCACAGTTTCAGAGATCTGAGTCCGCAGATGGCCAAATGCATTCCTCTGGGCCCCAAGGAGAGGCAGGACATCATGGCAGAAGAGTGTGGTGTAGGAATGTGACTCAGAAGCAGAGGGAGAGTGCTCCCTTCACCACAGACAAAATGTATATCCTAAAGGCATGCCCTCAGTGACCCACCTCCTCTAGCCACACCCTACCTTCCTACAACTATTAATCACTATCAGTAAATTGATGCACTAATTAGGTTTAGGCTCTCCTAAGACAATGTCTCACCTCTAAACTTTCTTGCATTGTCTCACATGAGATTTTGAGGGACACATAATATGGAAACCATAAGAGTCTGGGGAACAAAAGCTCATTAAGGCCCTCTGCAATCTGGCTCTTGATGCAAAACCTTTTTGACTCATTGCTCTCAACAGTGGATAGACAGTAACAATTTGAACTACAAGTACAAGAAACGCCAATTCAAACTGGCTTAAACTTTCAGGAGACTGTTTATATGGATCACATAATGAAAGGCCAAAGGTGGGGGTGGCTCCATCTGCCTCAGTAATCAGGACTGTTTATTGTCCCTGTTTTCTCCACCCTGCTTAGTACTGGCTCCATCCTTGGTGACTCCTTCCCTTCAGACTCAAGCAGCTGCCAGGACCGTGTGCTTCCTTGTGCTATTCATCAGGTGTTGGTTGTGTGTCTGCTGTGCGGGAGCCTTGTTCTAGGTGATATGGTCCCCATCCTTGTGATATGGTCCTCAACTGATATGGTCCCCATCCTTGTGAAGCTCACACGAGTGGGAGTGTGGAGGACAGTGGATTAGTTTGCGAGGGCTGCTGTTAATAAAGTACCACAAGTTGGGTGTTTTGAATAACAGACATGTATTGTCTTAAAAGTTCTGGAAGTTGGGAGTTAGAGATGAAGGTTTTGGCAAGGGTGTTTCCTTCAAGGACTGTGAGGAGAGCGTTCCTGCCTGTGCCAGCTCTGGTGGTGTGCAGGCCACTTGGCCTTCCTTGGCTTGTAGAAGCATCACCCGGATCCTGCCTTCACCTTTGCACACTATTCTCCTCTACCTTTGTATAGTCTTCTCCCTCTATATGTCTGTCTCTGTGTCCTCGTTTTCTGTTTTTAGGATACTGGTTGTGTTGAATTAGGGCCCACTCTAATGACCGCAAATCAGTCACCTGTGTAAAGAACCTATTTTCAAATAAGGTTTTTTCCTGAGGTAGGGGGTTAGGGTTTCAACCTGTCTTTTTGGAGGGTCACAATTCAACCCATGACAGTAAATTCTGTAAGTAAATCATGTAGTATGCAGGTGGCATTAAGAACTGTGGAAAAGATAATGTGGGGAAGGGAATAAGAAGTCCAGGTTAGGGGCTGGGGCTGGGACTGGGGCTCAGCAGTAGAGCACTCGCCTAGCATCTGCGAGGCCCTGGGTTCGATCCTCAGCACCACATAAAAGTAAATAAATAAAAAGCGTATTGTGTCCAACTACAACTAAAAAATAAACATTAAAAAAATAAAATAAAGGTATCTGTCCATCTACAACTACAAAAAAAAAAAGAAGAAGTCCAGGTTAGGTTTGCTGTTTTATGCAGAGGGTTTGGAGGCGGCCTCCTAGAAAACAGACTTTTGAGAAGAGAACTGAGATCTTAGGCTTTGAGTGGGACCAGGCAGTGGTCCAGGGAACAGCAAGGAAGTAGTATGGCTGGGGCAGAGGGGGTGACAGGAGAATGGAGCAGGTGAGATCTGAGGGGTAGCTGGGGCCATGCCTGTACAATCTTGGAAACCATCTTATGGACTCTCTGGGTGAGATGGGCTCTTGGAGGGTTTGGAACTGAGGAGGAGGAAGATCTACTGCAGATAAAGACAAGATCCTCTCTGGCTCTGCTCCCAGCTTCTGTTTAGAATCAGCCTTTGGATATCTGCCTTAGTGTCTCGTGACTGCAGTGACAAAACACACAAACTTGGTGGCTTAAGAACAACGTAAATTTATTCTCTTAACAGTTCTTGAAGTCAAAGCCCAAAATGACTCTTAAGGGACCAAAGACAAGTTATCAGGGCTGGTTCCTTCTGGAGGCTCCAGGGGAGAATGCCTTGTTTGCCTCTTTCAGCTTCTAGAGGCTTCTGCATTCACTGGCTCCTGGCTGTATCACTGCAGTCTCTGCTTTTTGTCATTGCATCACCTTCTCATTCCTGTGACTGCTTGTGTCCTTCTTATCAGGCCTCTTGTGATGACATTTAGAACTCTCTCATATGGTCCACTTCCCCATTTTAAGATCCTTAACTTCATCGTAGCTGCAAAGTCCCTTTTTGTCATAAAGGCAGCATTCTTGGGCTCCTGGGATTGGGGTATAGAGATCTTTGAGGCATGGAGGCATCATTCGGCCTCAGGATGTCAAAGGGGAGCTCAGACTCCAAGTGTCCCAAACCAGAGTCAGCATCTGCCTTGAGAACTGCTTCTCCCACATCTCAGTAAGCAGTGATTCTGACCTTTCAGTTGCTCAGAGTAAAAACTTAGAAACATTTCAGGCTTTTCTCTTTTTCACATTCTATGATTTTTCTGTCAGGAAATCTTGTCTGTACCATCATCAAAATATTTGGAATCTAACTCGGGCGTGGTGGTGAATACCTGTAATCGCAGCAGCTCGGGAGGCTGAGACAAGAGGATCATGAGTTCAAAGCCAGCCTCAACAACTGTGAGGCACTAAGCAACTCAGTGAGACCCTGTCTCTAAATAAAATACAAAATAGGGCTGGGGATGTGGCTCAGTGGTCCAGTACCCCTGAATTCAATCCCTAGTACCCCCCCCCAAAAAAAAAAAAAAGAAAATTGGAATCTCATCACTTCTCACTGGGATTATCAGATTGGTCTTTGTTTTTATCTTTGTGCTTCTGCTCTTCTTACTTCTCTTCCACCCACAGGAGAATCCTGTTGAGTATGTGCTTCATTTATATATATATATATATATATATATTTTTTTTTTTTTTTTTAATGAAGCACGGGTGATGAAATCCAGACACACTGAATGCATGACACAATGAAAACAGACCCCACATGGGTCTAGAAGGAGGACTTTGTCACCCAGAAGCCTGATGGAGCCTGTCACAACCCTCTTACACCTCACATAAGTATCCTGACATTTTTAGATACCACTTCCTTATGCTGTTTGTGTTTTTAAAATAGTTTAATTACTTAAGTGCACATCCCCGTGGCCCCTCTTTTGGTTTTCTCTGAAGTCTTTGATCCTGTAGGTCCCTCCTCCACCCTTCTCTTCTTTACAGTTTGTACTTTGAAGAACCCGGGCAGTTTGACCTGTGGACTTTGTTTCAGTCGCTTGCTGGCTCCATACTCCTGGTGCGATCTAGTGTGTCGCAGTGGTGACTGGTTCAAGGGCTTCAGTTAGACTTGGGTGCATTCTTTGTGGCAGGACAGAGGCCCAGAGCCTTTGTGGTCCCGGCAGCCATTGGCACTGCCTGCCTTGTTGTCTGTTCACTCAGCAGGGTACTGTTCCAGTGCGGTGTCCCCGTCATTTCCGAGATGGAACACTTTCGTAGTGAGGCATCGCCCCTCTTCGGCCGGGCAACCCAGAGATTCTCTTCCTTTACCTGCCAGTTTTCAGTATAAGGAGTAGGGTCCCTGCTGTCATCCTTCCAAGAGGACCAATTTATTTATACACTTGCACATGTGTGTTGGACATTATTCTCAGAGTTTTACAGAGCATTTTCACTGATGTCAGTGGACATACCCAGACTAAATCCCACAAGGACAGGAACAGGCTGCCTCCCCTGCTGCCCTGTGCCTGGCGGGGAGCTGGCAGCAGGTGCCCTGATGTGACCGGATGCATGAGCGACAAACTCTACTTGCTGAACAGCTTCCTGCCGAGCACTTGCAGGCACCAGCTCCCTTCATCCTCACAGCACTCTCACTTTAGTGACGAGGAATGTGGACTTAAAGAGGTGGAATAATGAAGTCCCACAGCTCATAAATAGGACCTGAATTTGAACCAACAGAATCTAAAACCAAGCCCCTGACTGGTCAGCCTCCTTGGGGTCATGCATCAGGTAGCAACTCTTGTCCCTCCGCTACCTAGCTGTGTGGCTTAGAGCAAGTGACTTTGATTCTCTTTTCTTCTACAACCTGGGAATAACCCTGCCTCAGAGAGGAGCTGGGCATCTAGTGATTCGCTGCACCTCGAGCGCTGATCCCATTCCCAGCACAGGAGGCGACTGGACAAAGAAAAGCCTTCAGGTCGAAGGCCTGGAGAGTTGGGTTGGGAAGTGTAAGCTGGGGGTGGAGGCCTTCCCACGTGCCACATTGCCCAGCAGCTTCTCAGTCACTTCTCCTGGGTAACCCTGATGAGATGGGACTCACCGGTCCCTTTCACTAGTAGGCCAGGAATCAGGCTTAAGGGGCCACCCATAGTGGAAAGTAGTGGGGCCAAGCCTCAAACCCAAACTAAACAGAGTTAGTTTTTCATTCTTAAAATATTCCTTTGTGTGTGCATACACACATGTCCTTACACATGTGCCCATGAGCACACTAATGAGGATCTAGAAAGGACAGTCCAAATAGCCATAGTTTCACCTTGTGATGGGGTGATGGGGATGGGCAGCTTTTCACTTTCTCTTGTCAGTACTGAGCATTTTTATTTTTATTGCAGTGCTGGGGATTGAACCCATAACCTCACATATGCTAGGCAAGCGTTCTACCACTGGGCCACTTCCAGAGCCTTTGAATTCTTATTTTAAATATGTATTAATTAGTGAAGAAATCTAGCATCACTAAAAGTTGAACAGTAGACATGCAGCTTAGGTGGTTGTATTGCCTAAAGTGGATCTGGCACCACATTGGGGCGGCGGTGGGGGGGGGGGGTTGCTTCCAAAGGCTGTACTGATTCTGATCAGGCCTCTGCTCTCCTCACCAGTTTATAGGAAAAACAGGGGCAGAGGGGCAGCTAGATGTAGGACCTTAAGTCAGGAGCATGGAAGAATAAAGAGGCTGCAGGGGTATGGCTGAGGAATGAAGGTCTGCTGACACAAGCCAGCTGCACACCTGGGCCTCAGAACTCGACAATGTAACTACAGAATTAACATCAAGAAGTCAGACAAATCTGTGTGTGTACTTGGAATATGGTCTAGATATTAAGGAATATTAAGTAATTACGATTAATACTGCAGTATTCACAGGGGAAATTAGAGGTCCCGTGGGTGCTGGGTCCATCTGGTTAATTATATGCATTTCCCTGCTTGTGTGTGTTTGAAAATTTCCACAGTAATACAAATTAAAATCTTGATCTAATACAAAAAAAAAAAAAAAAAAGACAAAAGCAGGAAAATCAATGGATTTTTTAAAACTTTTTATTATTTTTAAAAATTTATTTTCTTTTGAGAAATCAATGGATTTTAGATCAGGCAGATTGGGTTTAAGTTCTGCCTGTTTGAGTGATTTGACATCGATTTCTCCCATCCAAGACTGTTTCTTGCCTGCAGTATACAGGGCTCTTGAGTGTCATATCTCAAGGTTCCTGTGAGGCTGAGAACAAGATGATTACTGCCAAAGTCCTGGTAAACTGAGGGTTAGGGTGCCCTGAGTAGGTTGTTGGGCTCTTTCCTGGCCCCAGCACTTGAATGACTAAGTGTGTTTGCATTTTAGGAATTTGTCACCCTCAAGGATGTGGCCATGGATTTCACCTTGGAGGATTGGGAGCAGCTGGGGCTAGACCAGGCAGACCTGTTCTGGGACACAGCTCTGGACAACTACCAGAACCTCTTTCTTCTGAGTGAGTGCTCTTCTGACTCTGGGGTCCCAGTCACTGTCCTACTTGGGGATCACCTGTGCTATCCACCCACCAGTTGGAGTCCCAGCTTCTGAGTGCCTAGGTATCAGCATGGCCCAACCCAGTCATTCTCAACTGGCTGCCTCTGCCTGCCAGCAGACATTGGCAATGTCTGTAGACATTTTTAATCCTCGTGTTTGGAGCAGGAGTGCTATAGTGGGTGAGCCCAGGAATGGGGGTGCTATAGCGGGTGGAGCCCACAGATGCTGCCACACCTCCCACAATGCACAGGACAGCACCTCCAGCCGAGGGTTATCCAACCTTCAAATGTTAGTGGAGTGAGGCTGAGAAGCCCTGTCTGGCCTCCTGCCTGCCTGCCTCTGCAGCTTCATCCCTATGAATTTCCTATTTGTAACCATGGAGTCATTCCTTGACCTTAGGGTCACTGTGATTGCCCTCCCCTCTGCCCATAGTTCTCAGGGCTTCCCTTTGTTACACTGAGCTGTGACCTATGAGAAGGCCCTGCCTCACTCTCCTCAACTCCTTCATGGCTCCTTAGTGTTCTAACTACTTAATCTGTCATCTGAAATGGGAACTTCATAGGGGCAGGATTTTTAACCTGCTTTGTTCATTGGTGTCCCCAGTACCTACCATAGGACTCCAGTGAACCATTTCTGAGTGAATAAGCAGTGGAGTAGCAGAAACTGCTGTGTCATGAACCAAGTCCTCTGCTGGTCAAGCTCTCACTCAATCTTTTGGTCACCCCATGAGGAGGTTGGATTGCCCTCTTTCACTGATCATTCTGAAACTTAGGTTCACAGAAGGGAAGTTGCCTTCCCAGCCAGGTTAGGGTCCCCAGGAGCACCCCCAGGTTCGACGATTCACAAGGAGGACTCCGCCTATGGTCAGACTCATGGCTGTGATTTACTACAGTGAAAAGGTATAGAGCACAGTCAGCAAGGGGAAAAGGCAAGTGGGGTGAGGTTCAGGGTAGCCAGGCTCAAGCTTCCAGAATCTTCTTAGTGGTCACATGGGATTCACTTAATTCCCCAGCAACAAGATGTGACAATACATGTGAGATGTTGTTTACCAGGGAAGCTCATCGGAGATTCAGGGCCCAGAGTTTTTATTGGGGGTTGGCCATATGCCCCATTTGCCTGGCACAAACCCAAACTCCAGACTCACAAGAAAAGTAGGTGTTTCGTTTAAACCATATTGTTTGCACAAATCGTTTAGGCCTAGCGATCCTGTCTTATTAGCTCTGGGGATGTGGGGAGCCCTCTTTAAAGCCAGGTGTGCCAGCAGGCTTTTCCCAGGGGTCTAGTTGGACCGGCTGTGTCCACCCACTTCTGCACAGCAGCCTCACAGACCCAGCCCCAGTGCATGTCTGACATCTCCCAGCCCCAGCATCCCAGTTCCCCATCACTGTCACCTCAGCTACTTATTTCCCCTTTTTAGGTCCTCAATTTTTTCTAAGAATAATTTATTCTAAAAGATTAAAAAATAAATAAAAGACTACTTTATGGAAACTTATTTGATAGAATTTTGTCACACCGGGGCAGGTCTTCTCCAAACTATAGCCAGTATGTGCTACAGAAGCAAGATAGGGGAGTCCCTGCTGTGTGCAGGATAAAGTTGGGAGAGCTGAAAGATTCCTATTGGACATATGGTTGACTTTCCACATTGTGATTGACTGCAGTGTCATTCTGTCTTTGCAGATCCCCCAAGACCCAGCCTGACCTCCTATCCAGATGGTGGGGAAGACCTGGAGGCCCTGGTGGAAGGAAGCCCAGAAGCAGCTGGCCCTGGTAAGTGGACGGGAGGGCCCTTGGTGTACCTCAGAACCTCTGCCTGAGGTGGCCAACTCCCAGTGTGTCTGCCCAGACATCTTGACATCTGGCCTGTGGGTTTCATTTATCCCTTGGTGTCTGTCCCTTCATTTTAGGGGGGATGGGGATGCTTAAACAATACTCAATCTGACATGCCTGCTGTGTATCCTCCTCCTCCGGCCTTTTGCACAGACTGTCCTGGTGCCTCTCCTGTCCTCTTTTCTTCCTTCCAGATTCAGCAAGGGGAGGCTGTTGACTCCCTGTGTCAGTCTCTGCCCACTTCCTGCCTTGTGCCTATGAGGCGTAGACCCCCAGTCTGTCTACCTCTTTTCCCTCCCTTTATATAGACCCAACCTTTCTCCCTTGCCCTGGGCTTAGCAGATGACCACATTTGGGAGTAACTCAGGCCCAGGACTGAATGCTGCCAAGAAGATCCACTCTGCTGTCTCCCGGGCCAGGGTTCCTTTGATTGAGCAGGTCAGTGAGGATTCCTGTGGTGCTTCCCCTGGTGGAAACATCCCTGGGAGGAGAGAGCAGAAGCAGGTGCCTCACCTGGGTGTGGGTGGCTTCGCTCAGTGTTACTGTATCAGTGTGAGGAGGAGGGCCCTGAACCAGAGATCACAGGATTCCATGGCTCTACCTGCCCATCAGTCTGCATCCCTGTGCTTGGCTCACTGCCTATGAGTCCTCTGCAGCCTGCTGCTCAGCACCAGTGTCACATGAGGGAGACCAATCCAGGCACGTGCTCCCCTGACCTCTCATTTTTGTTTCTGTTACTTTAACATAGAGGATATTTTCAAGTAGAGACAACTAAATATATAGGTAGGCATGTGTGTGTGTGTGTGTGTACATGTACATCTCCAATAGTCACAACTGTGCTGCATTGTTATCACTCAGGTCTTCTTCCTGCTATAACTGCAAATTCTGCTAGATTCATCCTGTGTTCCCAGCTCTCTACATCATGCTCAGCATGTAAGAGGGCCTGGTACACGGCTGTTAATGTGCTCCAGGCATAGGCAGCAGCATGCACAGAGGCATAGTGAGGAGAACAAGCCAGATAGCTGTTGGAGCAGAAGCACAGAAGATGTGACAATGCAGAGCAAGAGGTGGCTCTGGAAAGATTTTGTTTCAGTTTCACTTAACAGGCTGAGATATGGGCAGTCTCTGAGATGTTCAGTGGATAGAGAGCCATGAAATCCACGAAGGAACAGACTTGAAAGAATATGATGGTTCAGGATGGGCTGGGTGGGGTAGGGGGACTGGAGGTGTGGAGAAAGCAGTGAATTTCATGTTTTGTGGGGTCCCAGGGGTGCACAGCTTGGTAGTTGAGGGTGGGCCAGATAAGGGCAGATCTGCTTGTTCAACTTTGGAAAGGGGGCTATCAGGGGTGGTTGAGAGTGCACCTGAGGTACCTTGCTTTTTGTCCTTGAGAATTTTCTGTGACTGCTTGTACATCATCCACTCACAAGTCACAGTAGAGGGTGATGAAAGCTCAGCTGTTTCAGAGAGAACACAAGGTGGGGCACTCTCAGCAGAAAGCAGTGTGGGGTTTTGGGGATACCTCAGAGTAGGGTGGTACTCAAGCTAGGACACAGAACAGTTTGCCTGTGAAGGGCACTTGGGCACAAGAGTCCTGTTATGGCACAGATAAGAAAGTTTGGTAAATTCAGGGACATGCAGGAGTTCTTTGGGGCCAGTACAGAGAATGCTGGATTCATGCACTTGCATTTCTCTTCAGAGGCTCTGGAAGTGTTTATTGGGGGAGTGATGTAGCCGAGCTGGTTGTCACACAGCCCCTGATGGCTGGGTGGAAGTTGATGATTGACACCGGAGAGGGAGGGAGTTGACATTCCCAAGGAGGTCTGGCAGAAAGTGGTGAGTGGGAGTGGGGATGCGGACTCCCAGGATTCAGATGTGAAGGACTGGGTGGGTGATTGAATCATTCTCCAGGAGACTTTGGGGAACACAGTCATTGATGTAGGTATGAGGGTTATGGCTGGGATTCTCCCTCTCAGTTGAACTCCTGAAGTTTCCAGATTCCCTTCTTGAGAATGGACTCCGTTTCTTGATGCCAGTTTCAGACGGGACACCACTTCGGGCCCCTTTCCTTTAACCCCCTTGATGGACAGGCTGGACTCAAGACGTATCACCCCTACTGCCTCTTGTCCACATTCTCAGCCCACAGCTCTGGTCTTTCCCACTGGAGACATTTGTATTCTCTCTTTCAGATATGACTGAGACCAAGGCCTCTCCTCTGCATCAGGATTTCTTAGAAGAAGGGCTCTCCCAGGAGATTTTGGAGGCATTTTCCAAGGATGGCCTCTGGAACTCCAGCTTTGAAACCTGTATAGATGAGAGCTGGTTAGATAGTTTGCTGGGAGATCCAGAAAGTCTTCTGAGGACTGATGCTGCTGTCAACGAGGAAAGTCCCACAGAATGCAATCATGAATTCAAGAGTGGCCCCAGTCCTAGTTCCCCGCTTTCCATAGGAGAAGACTCTGTGATGCATGACATTCCTGAAAAGAGCCTCACACCAGCTAAGTCGAAAGAATGTAGGAGTGACTTTGGCTACTACTCAGACCAGAGCCAGCAGGATTCTGTACAGGGAGAGGAGACCCTGTATAAATGTAGTGAATGTGGGGAAAGCTTCAGCCGGAGTTACCACCTTATCCAGCACTGGATCATTCACACGAAGGAGAAGCCCCCTGTGCGTCCAGAGCATGAGAGAAGTTTCATCCAGAGTTCCTACCTATTTGTTCGTCCTGTGACTCATACAGGATACGAGTCCTATGTGTGTAAGGAATGTGGGAAAACATTTAGTCAGAACATGCACCTCCAATGGCATCAGAAAATTCACACTGGAGAAAAACTCTGTAACAATCAAGATCATGACTGTCCGTCCAATCGTGCACGACCCATTAAATGTCAGAAAACCACCGTAAGTGCTAAGTCCTACAAATGTAGTGAATGTGGCAAGGCTTTCAGCCGGGCCCTTCATCTTGCCGGGCACCAGAAGACCCACATTCAGAAACACTACGAATGTGCCATGTGCCAGGCAGCCTTCAACTTGAAGAAGCATTTCATCCAACATCAAAAAACCCATGCTACAAAAACTACCTCTGAGTGTCAGGAGTGTGGGAAGACCTTCAGGCGGAGTTCGTCACTCATTGAACACCAGACCATCCACACTGGGGAGAAGCCTTATAAATGCAATGAATGTGGGAAAGCCTTCAGCCATACATCCTCACTGAAGATCCACCAGAGGGTTCACAGTGGAGAGAAGCCTTACAAATGCAGTGACTGTGGGAAAACCTTCTGCCGGAACACTCACCTTAATGAACATCAGCGAATTCATACAGGCTACAAACCCCACAAATGTCAGGAATGTGTCAAAAGTTTCAGCCGACCCTCACACCTGATTAGACATCAGTCCAGTCATACCACAGAGAAGCTCTTTGGCTGTGCTGAATGCAAGGAGACCTTCAGCCACAAAGAACACTTGGTGCAGCATCAGATAATCCACACCATCGAAGCCCCCTACCAATGTCAGGAGTGTGGAGAACGCTTCATTTGCCATTCAACCCTGAATTGCCACCTGAGTATTCACACCAGAGAAAAACAAGGATTTGATACAAGCAAGAAAATTTTGGATCTGAACTCAGAACAGAGAGAGTATCAAAGGCTCAATGAGAAATGCTTTAAGTGTAACAAATGTGAGAAAACCTTTAACCGTAGCAAATACCTAACTCAGCATGCGAAGATTCACACCAGGGTGAAGTCTTTTGAGTGCCATCAGTGTGGGAAAGCCTTTGGCCACAGTACACAACTCAGTCGCCATCAGAGAATCCATTCTGGGGTGAGGCCATGTGAACGTGGTGAGCACAGGAAAGCCGACCAGAACCTCTCCCTCACCGAACAACAGTCTTCCCAAAGTGAGCACTCCTTGAAGTGTAACGAATGTGGCAAGACCTTCAGCCAAAGTGCTCACCTCTCAGAACATCAGTTAATTCACTCTGGAGAGAAGCCCTTTAAATGTAAGGAGTGTGACAAAGTCTTCACCCAGAGTAACTACCTTATTCAGCATCACAGGACTCATGCTGCAAAGAAGCACTTTCAGTGTAGTGAGTGTGGGAAGACATTCCATCAGAGTTCATGCCTTTCTAAGCATCAGCGAATTCACACGGGGGAGAAGCCCTATGAATGCAGTGACTGTGGGAAAGCCTTTGGCCTGAGTGCTCAACTCATGCGACACCAGAGAGTTCACACCGGAGAAAAGCCTTATGTTTGTCAGGAATGTGGGAAGTCCTTCAGCCAGAGCTCATGCCTTTCCATTCACCGGAGAGTTCACACTGGGGAGAAACCATACATGTGTAGCAAATGTGGGAAAACCTTTGCCCAGAGAGCAAATCTTACACAGCATGAAAGGATTCACACTGGGGAGAAGCCTTACGCCTGTGAAATATGTGGCAAAGCCTTTGGCCTCAGTGCCCACCTAGCTCAGCATCAGAGAATTCACACCCAGGAGAAACCTTATCACTGTCAACACTGTCAAAAGACATTTCGGTGCTATTCCAGTCTCAACCGACATCAGAGGCTTCACACTCAAAAGTAACAAGGAGCAATACTGTCTGCTGCCACTGGGTGGCAGCAGAGTCCTGCACATCTGAATATGTTCATTTGCGTACAAGATTTGAAACCAACATATTGACAGCTTCACCCCTCACAATAAATAAATCTCTTTATCAATAAAGATTGATTAGAAAGTTTATACATATGGGTTTCATCCAAACAATGAGACAAAAGTTGAGAAGCTGTGTAACATTGGGATTCAGAAGTAGATCTGGAGCCAGTCTGCTTGAGTTGTGTTCACCTCTGCCATCTACCACCCCAAGTGACCTTGGGAAAGTTAAAATCTCTCAGGGCCTCAGTGTCCTCTTCCCTAAAATGGGCATAATAATCACCTACCTCAGGGCAGTTGTGAGGGTTAAATAAAGTCCAGTACTTAGAACTGCTGACTGATCTGTGAGTACATGTCAGATAAAACACAAATATGCTCTTTTATATTAAAAGAAGTTTTTGTTCATCTCCCTCTTCTTTTTAAATGCTTGTCCTCTGTCCTAGCCTTTTCTTACTGAATCCACAAAAATCCAAGAGGAGTATGTAAATTTCCACCTTGAATGGTTAGAACTTTCTACTTGTACTCTCCCAAACCTCTCCAAGAAGAATCTTCTCCCTGGCCATATTTGCAAACCATCTCTTTCCATAGTCTTCCTCCATTTAAACCATTACTTAAGCCAGCTGTAGTGGTGCATTCTTGTAATCCCTGCTATTTGGGAGGCTGATGCAATAGGATCAGAAGTTTAAGGCCAACCTGGGCAAATTAGTGAGACCCTGTCTCAAAAAATAAAAAGGACTGTGAATACAGATGTAAAGCACCCCTGAGTTCAATCCTCAGTACCAATAAATGAATATGATGTGAGACCCAAATTTGTCATGGGAGTTAATGGTACTGCCAACAGCTGAATTCACGAATGGGTTCTGCTAATAGCAGGGGCAGTGTGGAAAGCTGCCTTGGGTGTTAACACAAAATAACCCACACGGAAGAGGTGCTTGGAGCTGAAATTTGTTATAGAGATGTTAATTGATGACCATTTTTCTAAGCTAGCCACTCACTAGGCACTTAGCGAGGCCAAAGGGCAGGGAGTGCAGATACGATTGCCCTGACCCTGAAGCTTCTGGAATCCAAAAGGGAAATGAATGACTCCACAGAGGATCACTGTCAATTGACAAGTAACATCTTAAAAATGCTACTTGCCTTATTAGAGGAGGTTCTGGGACCACCAGGGATTATTGTTGAACCTGGTGAGGAGATCCTTCCTGCTGAAGCTGCCCATTCATCTTGGCCAAGCTAACTGTCCCCTCATGGAACGTGACCAGCTTGAATACCTCATCAGCTCCTGACTTGTGCCATGCTCACTAAGTGACCCAGTCATATTTGCTGAAGCACAACAGAATCTTACAAAGATGTGGGACGCTGAAAATATTGCGTATATCTGGGGTGCTGGGGGTAGACTGGATGTGTGTCCTGTGCAGTGGACCTTGAGTTCTGATGGTTGGTTTTGTAGTTGAAATGGGGGCTTCCTGGTTGCTAGTTGGGCCCACACCACAGGGGAGAGCTTTCTGTTTTTCATATGGCTTGTGTTTAATTATGTGAGTTTTTGTGGGTCCCTGTAGAAATACCCTCCGTGTGTGCATGTTGGTTGGTTCTCTGATTAAAGTTTTGAGTTTAAAAGTATTTCCTTCTTTGGGCTGGGGTTGTGGCTCAATGGTAGAGCACTTGCCTAGCACATGTGAGGCCATGGGTTCAATCTTCAACACCACATAAAAAAATAAATGAATAAAATAAAGCTATGAAAAAAAGGTACCTCTTTAAAGAAAAAAAAAAGTATTTTTTTCTCTGGACCTGATGCCACATTGCCTGGCTACCTGCTGGGCCTGCAGAGTCCCTGGCTACCAGGTGCTCATGTGCCAGTGGGGAAGGACTTGTGAAAGTGAAAGGTTCCAGCTGGAGAGAGAGTAAAGTGAAGTCATCAGTCCTCCAGTAGATGAGAGCAGGGAATGGGTTCTGGGGTGTATGGAAGCCCAAGTGTATTGGGCTGCTGTAACAAATGGCCATTGACTTGGTAGCTTATAAACAACAGAGGTGTAGCACTTATATTCTGGGAAGTCTAAGATCAAGGTTCTGGCAGGTTCGGTGTCTGATGAGGGCCTATTTCCTGGTTCCTGGACAGCACCATCCCACTGTGGAAAGGCCAAGGAAGCTCCCTGGGTTCTGTGATAGGCACACTGATCCCATACTTGAGGCCCGGAGGCCTCATGCAAACAATCACATTGGGGATTAGGTTTTAGAACATGAATTGGGCCAGGGGGGACCAGCTGTGTGAAATGAGTGCTGAAGAAGGGCTTCTGAGGTGACTAGCAGAGGTGCAAAAGCAAGGAGGATACCCTGTGAATGTCCTAAGAGAGACCAGGCAGAGGGAGCAGCCCGGGAGAATGTGGAAGGATGGGAGGGCCTGGCGCAGTCAGGGGAGCAAGGAAGCCTGTGTGGGCTGGAGCAGGAGGAGCTGTGGTGTGCAGGTCAGGTCTAGACTGCACGCCTCAGGCGGCGCTGAAGGGCTTGACATGCCGTAGCAGAGATGTGGGCTCCTGCTGGAGGGCTGAGGGCAGAGGGGATTGACAGGCCTGTTTAGCAGGATTTCCTCGCTGTGTTGAGATGACAGAGTGGGGCAAAGGTGGAAGAAGGGATGAGTGAGGAGGCAAAGGAGTGTAGTGGGAGGGGTAAGAGGTGGTATTGGAAGGAATGGGGGGTGAGGTGCTTTCTATATTTGGGCTGCCGAGTTGATAAGAGAGAAACCTGGAACTGCTGGTGGGCACTTTGCCACCATGAAGAAAGACCCTACGGGAAAATGAACCAAGGGAGCTCCCTGGGGTCTGCAATAGGCGCACTAATCCCCTTCACGAGGCCCGGAGGCCTCATCCAAACAATCACATTGGGGATGAGGTTTTAGAACATGAATTGGGCCAGGAGGACCAGCTATGTGAAATGAGTGCTGAAGTAGAACTGAAAGCAAAGAACAGATTACCAGCAGACCATGTAAGCACCTGGATTCATCTGTACCTGAAGGTGAAACTTTTTAATCATCTTAGCCAATGAATTTCCTTTTTTCCCTGAGCATCATAATACTCTTGGCTGATAGCAAATCTCTACTTCATACCATAAACCGTTTAAAAATCTGGTTGGATAAAGTTTTAATTCTAAAAAAAATCATTATAAAAAACTCAGGAGAACTCCCCCCACCCCACCCCCATAACCTTAGGGATGAGAAAGGCTGATTTCTTAACATGATAGTTGGTTCAAGAACTAAAAAGGAAAACAGATTTGAATGCCTCAAAGTTTAAAATTTCTCTACAGCAAAATACACCATAAAATTGAAAGAGAACAGAAAACATTAGTCACGTATCAAAGGGTAAGTATACACATATATAAAGACTTGCTGTTATGTAAAGAGTGAAAATGGGCAAAATATATAAATAGGCAATTCACAGAATGCAAAACATAGATGCATAAAAGATGATTAATCTTTAGGACATTTTTACCTGTAAGATTTAAAATGTTGTTTTTTGTTTTGTTTTGTTTTGTTTTTAAAGCAACTAATACCAAGTGTTTGTGAGGAAAGTGGAGGAGCAGAGGAATAGGTACTCACATACTTCAAGGAATCATGTAAAGTGGTTGGTTCATCCTTTTGCGGAGGACTTGAGCAGTAACTTGGGAAAAAAAAAAACAAAAAAACACTTTTCCCAAAAAAGTACCAATACTGGGGATTGAACCCAGGGCCTTATACATGCCAGGCAAGTGCTCTGCCTGAGTCATGTCCCCAGCCTCCCTCCCCCACCTTGTGAGACAGGATCTTGCTACACTGCTGAGGCTTCCCTTCAACTTGTGGTCCTCATGCCTCAGCCTCCTGAGTTGCTGGGATTATAGGTGTGCACCACTATGACCAGCAATAACTGAAAAATTTAAATGTCATTTTATGACCTCACTCGAATGTTTGGAACTCTTCTTATGCTACACATGTAAAATATAAATGTCTAATGATGCAAAATAAAATGGAAACCTAAATGTACATTCGTGGGGGTTGGTTGCATAAATCAAAGAAGTATGGCATGAAATATGCAATTGTTGAAAGATACATAGGTACATGTTCATCTCTTTGTATAATGTGTTTAAGGTGTACAGACTTTGTGCTCTCATGGGAAATCATCTACATTATGTCAACTAAGGTAACTTCTAAGATCAATATGTGCATGTGATTATGTGACATAAAAATACCACACATCTGAGTAATTTTATAATGTTTCATAAAAACAAAAAGGGAGATTCATATTTATAGAAAAAGTCTCAGGTCTTTGGAATGAAGATTTACTGGGCACAATACATTTTTTTCAGTTTTTGTAGCATCTGAATTATGCACAGTGAATATTTCAATCATGAAAGAAGCCCCAAAAGATTAGAAGAAATGCCAGGCAAAGGCTTTAAACCATAATATTAGTTACCACAGGTTAGAATTAGGGTTAGACACAGCACCATACACTGCTGGCAGAGTGCCAGGTGACACAGGACTTCTGCAAAGCCACTGGCGATGTATGTGGAGACTATGACCTCACTGCCAGGATTTCACCTGGCAAGTGATCAGGTGCTCATCCTTGCTGCAGAAAAGATGTTCCATGCCACATTTATAAAAGCCAAGAAAATTAGAGCTGGGCCCAGTGGCACACCTCTGTAATCCCAGCGGCTCAGCTGAGGCAGGAGGATTGTGAGTTCAAAACCAGCCTCAGGCACTAAGCAACTCAGTGAGACCCTATAACTAATACAAAAAAAAAATAGGGCTGGGGAATGGGGCTTAGTTGTTGAGTGCTCCTGAGTTTAATCCCTGGTATCAAAAAGGAAAGAAAAGAAAATTAAAGTTCATAACCCACTTGAATCAAATGTATGAAATATGATATGTCAAGAGCTTTGTAATATTTTGAACAACCAATAAAAAAAAGAAAGAAAATTAGAAAGCTAGAACATCCAAGAAGGACTTGATACTATGTCGGCGGAGTAAGTGGCAACTGCAGAAAACTGCAAAGCATTAGATGTTAAGGATTACTTAATGACACATTGATTGACATTTGTTGCCATAGAAATGCAGTTGTGGTCCTCACATCCAGCTTGTGTGAACTGCATTGACTCCAACTGCCCCTTTGGAAGGCAGTTTGGCAGCACATTTGAGGAATCAAAATGCTTGGAGCCTTGGTGCCCATCATTGCCACCCTGGGAATCTGCCTACAAGAAATTCTCCCCCAAAGAAGCTGGAGGAGGTGAGCTTGGAACCGCTCATTGCAACATTATTCACAATTGGAAAAGCTGGTGAACCTGTGTCGGTCAGGAACTTAGGAGAAAGAGCTAATTGGGAATGGATCTGTGAACTGTTCTCAGTGACCAACCATTAGCATTAACAATGAGTGTGATGCATAGGCGACAGGAAACTGCTCATGGTATGATGAGGGCAGATTGACTCTACACTGGGACTCCAATGAAATAAAATTACATTTGTTTAAAAGATTTGGAAGAAAGTATGAAAAAATATGGCTTCTGAGGGCAGCTGAATTGTGAAATTCAAAATTTCTGACAGTTTAAACATATGCATATAGAATACAGACCAAAAATAATCCAGAAAGAAAAACCCAAGAATGACTACTGAATCTCTCTGAGCTATGGTTTTACAGGGAATTGGTGTTTTATTTCATACTTCTCCGTACTTCACAAATATCCTTTATAATGAAAGTGTATTATTTCCTACCAAAATTGTTCCTATTATAAAAGTATAAGCATTATTTTTAATATAAAATAATTATATGTTTAAAATATGTAAAAAGTCTCCTTTAGACCTGAATAAACATGATGTTTAGTGGGATAACAGCTTTTTAAAGCATAAATCCCAGAAATATAATAGGCACAAATAATAGGACACTAAAAGTAGCTGTGAGTGTGTGAAAGATATTCACTATTTAAACCAACTTTACACTGTGAAATTTGTTGTTTAAAGTTTTAAAAAATTGCCTAGCATTTGTTTAGCTACGTATATTTGAGACTTTTACTCTCAAGCGTCAATTTTCATAACTTTCTTCTCTTTTTCTTGACTTTTTGGGATCCAATTTAAGGGAAGAAAAATCAATTTAAAAAGCTCAGAGAGACCTGTTCCTGGGAGACCCCCCAAACAATGAGAAGCTCTCTTGGCTAGTGATAACACGTGACATCCTCCTTCTAAGAATGATGTCAATATATGGGGTTAGTGTTCCTCTCTGGAACTGGCCTTGAAGATGAGCATTTGTTGCCAGTGTGATTCTGATGTCGGAGAAGGTTTGAGATCTGGGTGTAGGCCTTCCCACAGTCCTCACATTTGAAGCGCTTCTCCCCGCTGTGGGTGCTGAGTCAGGTGGCTGCTCTGACGGAAGGCCTTCCTCATTCCTTACAGGCACAGGGCTTCTTGCCAGTGTGGATTCTCTCATGTTGGATGAGGGATGTGTTGTGACTGAAGCTTTTCCTACACTCCTTACACTTATGAGGCTTCCTGCCCGTGTGGGTCTTCTGGTGCTGGGTGACATGAGTGCTGTGGCTTAAAGCTCTCCCACACAGTCCGCACTTGTAGCACTTCTCCCTGGTGTGGGTCATCTGGTGTTCAGTGAGGTGAGAGAGATCTGGGCATATTCCTTCCCATACACTTTACACTCATAGGGCTTCTCCCCAGTGGGGGTCCTTTGGGGCTGAGTCAGGTGGCTGCTCTGACTGAAGGCCTTCCCACATTCCTTACAGGTATAGGGCTTCTTGCCTGTGTGGATTCTCCGATGTTGGATGAGGGATGAGCTGTAACTGAAGCTTTTCCCACACTCCTTACATTTCTGAGGCTTCTTTCTGGTGGTGGGTGAGAGAAGAGTTCTGGTTGAAGGTCTTCCCAAACTTGTTACATCTGTAGGGCTTCTCCCCGGTATGGACGGCTTGTGCTGGGCCAGGGAGGAGGAGGGGCAGAAGGCCTTGCTACACTCACTGCATCTGTAGGGCTTCTCCCTTGTGTGGGTTTTCTGGTGGTGGGCAAGGTAGGAGACCTGTGGGTAGAACTTCCTGCACTGGTCACATCTGTGGGGCTTCTCTCCAGTGTGGACTCGCTAATGGAAAGCAAAGTTTGAAGGATAAATGAAGACTTCCCCACATTCCTGGCAGTTGAATGGCTTCTCCATGAAGGTTCTCTGGTGTCTCAAGCTCTTTCCTGGCCTCCTGCCATTCTGGGTTCTCTCTACACCAGGTGCTATGTGCTTCCTAAGGAGGGCCACTGCCTGCCTCAGGCTTCGCCTAGGTTCATGACACCCGAGACCTCCCTACCCAGAGGCATCTCCCTTGGGAGTGGCAAGTAAACACATCAAATGCCTCTGCTGCTTTCCTAGGTTCTCTGGTGGATGGCAACACCATGGAGCCTGGGTCTCCCCAGTTTGGCATCTCCAAGCTAGCCCTTACAGCGCCCCCAACTGGGGAAGCTGACTCCTCAGGACCCTCTTTTGTGGAGGCATCACAGAGCTCATCTCCAAGTCTGAAAGAAATGGAGAATATGAATACCATTTGTCTCAGGTCAGAGGAAGCTGATTCCTCAGAACTGATGGTGCAACTCTAAAAAGAAGGGTCACAAAATTTATATTGCTATTTTAAAAGGCATGAGGTAGACATATTCATTTTATTACATGGAAGGATGGCCTCAATATATTCCAAAAACAAAGAGAACCATATTGTCACAAGCCGCCCATGGGTTGCATGTGGGTCACCATGCATGGAAGCCTAGTGGATAGAAATATCTCGTGTCTGGGAATGACCAGTGGACATTTTCTCTGGTCAGCTGCCCAGGGACAATGTGAATCTCTATCCTGCTCTGCTGTGGCCTACACAGCACCTGAGATGAGTGTGACCTGCCAAGATGTCAATCAACCTGCTGACTGCAGAAATCACGAAGCAAGACTCTGTCCTTGAAACCTTATTCCTGCCTTTGATGTTTCCCCTTAAATAAACCACTGGAGCCACCTTTTCTTTGTCTAGTCCCAGCTCCCGTATGGATTAGATTTATCAGGGGCTTCACTATTTGTAAATATATTTCTGGCTATTTGTGTTTTGTTATTCACTAATTATTTAAGACTTTAAGTTTTAGGGTGGCTTACATCCTCCTGGACAGGAAGAAGAACCCCTCAATGAGATGCTGGCCATCACCCCAGTACTGTAAGGGTCCGGCGAAGCGTCGGAGGAAGAGACCACCAAGAGACTGACTCATGCAATTGCAGAAGGGGATTTACTGGGGATCCATTCCAGCGCGCTGGGGCTCCGTGCTCACTCAAGAAGGGAGAGCAGCCCAGAGCCCAGAGCAGGGACTGAGCACTGCTTAAGTACACTTCTTGGGGAGGGCGGGGACTTTGCATACATCACAGTCTCCTTTAACAAATCATCATACACCGCGGGAAAGTCAAACAACAATTCCTAAACATGATTAGTTCATTCATTGGCGGGAACAGGTCGGGCGGGGGTGATTGGTTACTCCTAAGCGGGGTACACATTCAAACTGATTGGTTTAGGCCCTGCGATGCCTACGTGCAACGCACAGGGCCCTAGGATATTAATCAACTAAATGGCCAGTAGGGCATTGTCTTAACTGCCTCAGGAATTTCAGGTTCTGGGTGTAGCAGAGGAACTTAACAATACCTAGTCCTTCACTTTTTAACTCAGGCCTTGCAGCTTAGGAACTTTACAATGCCTGGTCTTTTACATTTTAACTCAAGCTTTGCAGTTTAGAAGTAGCTTAGAAACTTTACCCTTTCAGTACCACATTGCAAAACAGTTCATGTGCACATGGGTTGATTAGCTACGATATAATAAACATTTACAAATCAATAAGAAAAGTGACAGAAACAATCTAATAAACTTGTGAAGAATAAATATGAATAGACAATTCTCAGAAAAAAATAAATGCCTGAAAAATTCATGTAAAGATTGGAACAGGGGTATAGCCAGTGGTGGAGCACACACCTCATCCGCACAAGGCCCAGGTTCCATCCCAGCACCACACACACACACACACACACACACACACACACAAATATGCTCACCATCAATAAGGGTAGAGAAACCTAATTGCTAAAATGGTCGTCTATCCTTTCTAGATGGGAAATCATTAAAAATAATCCCATGTTGGCAAGTGAGTCTGGTGTGGACATTCTCACCTGTGTTTGTGGGAGTAGGCAAGGAAAGAGCTAACACAGAAGGTCTATTGTGTTTAATTTTTGCTCATCTCTGCAGCTGTGGCAATGACCTCTGGCCACTCTCTGAGAACTAAACTCCTGAGATGTTTACACAGTTACTAGTTAATGATGCTTTTCTGTGGGCTCAAAACCATGGACATTCTGGCCAAAGGGAACCAATCAGAGTCTTCCTTGAGACTCATATATGAGGTTGCTAGGCAGAATACAAGTTTGAGATGGTGGTAGCCATGCTGACTACCATCTGAAAAAGTGCTGTAGATAGAACGAAGAGAAAAACAGGATGAAGATGTGTAGGTGGCAGGTGGGGGTTGAGAGAAGAGGGGGAAAAACAGGATCAACCTGACAATAAGGGCCTTAGATCCATTTAAACTCACACTGCATGCTTCCCAGTTACATAAGGTATAAAAGAAATCTAATTTTTCTTGAGTTATTTTGACTCTTTACATGCAAAATAGTCCTGAAAATACATTGGATGATTACCATAATGAATATGATGGTGATCATTTAAATGCAAGGTGGGTACAATACACATACCTGTAATCGCAGCAACTTGGAAGGCTGAGCCAAGAGGATTGCAAGTCCAAGGCCAAACTGGGCAAACTAATGAGACTGTCTAAAAATGAAAAAGGGCTGGGGATGAGGCTCCGTGGTAAAGTGCCCTGGGTTAAACCCCTAATCCTTGCCTCCAGTTTTACTAAATGTTTACTCTGTGCCAGATGCTGCTCTAAGCCCGTGCTAGGCCCACCCCAGGCCCACCCCAGTGCGGGTGGGTCCTGTTATTCTCCCCACTTCACAGGCAGGAAGCACACAACTTGTAACCTTGCAAGTCAGGTTACACGACTTGCTCAGTCACACCACCTATCTGTGGCGGGGCCAGGACTTGAACTTGGAGCCTGCACTCCTACCTATGACATGCAGTAGCAGCCACTCAAGCAGGGAGCTGAGAGAACACATAGAAGTGGCAGCTGGGGTTGTGGAGATGGAGAGAGGCCCATGCAGGCTGGACCAGGTGGGCCCTGGGCCAGGCTCAAGCCTGGGGCTTCATCCTGGGGCCTCTGGGGAGCACAGGAGGCCTGGGGGCAGGGGGGACAGGGTCAGCTCTCATGACAGAAGTGCTTCTGGAGCTGTGTGCTAAATGGATTAGGGCGGGAGGGTCTAGTAGGAAGCTGTGGCCTGAGTCGGGGTGGGAAGGACAGGGCTGGGGACACATGGGCTATGGTGAGTGAAGTGGAGATGTGATGTCTGGCCCTGAGATGGGGCAGATGGTGACCACACAGAGATGCCTCAGTCTCCTCTGTGTCAGAGTCCACTGTCCCAAGGGAGGCAAACATCTGGTTTCTGCTCCCTCAATACGCTGTGCCAGGCCCCACTCTGGGTCTCCACCTGGCCATGCCGAACACGATTCCAGTACCACCACCGCAGCCACCACAGGGTGCCATTGTGTGCAACAACTCATGGGACGAGCACAAGAGGAGTAAACTGCTCACACTGTGAGCCAGGAAGCAGAGAAAAAGGAAGGGACTCTGGGGTCCCATGATCCCTTTCCAGAGCACACCCCCAGTGACCTCCGGACTTCCCACAAAGCCCCACTCCCAAAATTCCACCATTTCCCACTACATCCACCCTGGAGACCAAGGCTTTTAGCACTTGGGCTTTTGGGGGATACTCAAGTCACCACAGCACTGCCCCTCCTCACATGCTACACCTCACCCTTAACTGCAGCTGTGGCTTCCCCTTGTTGTTCAAAGACACCATCAGATGAGAGCATCTCCCTTCTCCATTGTGATACCCAGAGGCCAATCTGCAGCCCTGCCCCACACCCACCTTTGCCCTGGTTATCCCTGCAAAATGTCCCTGCTCCAGGCTCAGACTGTGCCCTCCACTCATGCCCGAGCTCCCTGTCCTCACCCCAGCTCCCTAACCCAGCAGCTGGAGCCCTTATAAGAGCGGAGAGGACACAGGGAAAACGGCTGTAAGAAGACGGGGCAGGGACTGCGGCGAGGCAGCCACGGCCAAGGAGCACCAAGAGCCACCAGGATGGAAGAGGTAAGGAAAGGTCCTTCCCTAGACCTTCAGAGGGAGCAGGTTCTGCTGCCACCTTTATTTTGGACTTCTGGCTTTCAGAACTGTGGGAGAACCAAGGAAAACCTTTGACGTTCCCTGACATAAAGCATGCACAGGCTCCATTTTGCCCCCTTTTAGTGTGGAAGCTCCATCCCTAAGATCGGCTAGCCTGTTCCACCCCCACTTTTAAAATTACTTCCTGTGTCCTGTGGATTTCCCGCTGCTTTACCTTTCTTAGCTTTTCTTCCGCAGCCAGCCCATTCCACCAAGAGCAACCCCATGCCCACCGCCTGCGCAGGAGGTGGGCGGGGTGTGATCATGGTGTCATGGTCAGGGAAGAAAATGACCTTGTTTTTAGAGACACAGAGGCTCCCCGGGGATTGGTGTGTGGTGGGGGTTGGATATAGAGACCGAGAGAGGGGAACAACCTCAAAGACAGGAGGACAGAAATCTGGACAGAGAGCCAAGGAGAAGGGAACAGAGACATAGAGAAAAACAAAGACTGGAAGTTGGGGTGCACACAGGGACCCTAAAGTGAGGTTGGGGTGGTGACAAAACCCAGAGCTGTGTAGTGAGGGGGAGATCAGGGAACTGAGACCCAGAGAAAGGAGAACAGATGCTCGGGTTAAGAGGGGCAGAATCCGAGGGTGTGAACTGCTCTTGGTTCCAGGTCAGAATCTCTGGCTGTGATTCTGGGTCTATCACCGTTAGGTCCTGTTAGCTCAGGAGAGCAAGAAACTCACCTGTGGACAACACCCCCCTTCCCTCTCCCCATCACCTTTCTGACCTCCTGACCCACAAGGCTCTTCAGATTATGGCCCCCTCCTCATTCTACTCCTCTAAGCCTCCTTCACTGAAGACCCTACACTGTCCTCACACTCTTGTCCAGCCGCCAGCCCCACTGCCCTTCTCCCTAGTCCTCAGCTACCAGCTACACACTCCTGCCAGGAAGTCCTGGATTAATTTCTCCCTCACTTCTCCTACATTCAGGAAGGACCCTCCTCGACCCCAACCTCTCCTTCAGCGGTTTATTGATGGGAGCTCAGTGACCTGCAGGCTATGCTCTTGTCCCTCCACTGATATTACAGAAGCACAGTCTCTTCCCCTGGGCACAACTCCTCAAAAGGCTGAGCTTACTCACCCGAGCCTTACAACTGGCAAAAGGAAAACTCTATCAACATTTACACTGATTCAAAGTATGCCTTTCACATTCTCCTCTCACAATCTGCCATATGGAAAGAAAGAGGTTTCCCATCAAGCAAAGGCACTCCCACAGTTAAGGACGGCCACCTTTTCTTCCTGGGATCCGCCCATGTCCCAAGTCCTCTCAGTTACTACTTTCCCACTCTTTCTCTAATGAGGCAGATGCTCCATGAACTTGAGAACAGGTTTCTACCCCAATCACAACCCTCCTCTCCACTGCCTGCCTATGCCCCTCATCCTGAGGACTGGGTTTATCTCAAGAATTTTCATCTTCTCCTTTATCCCCCAAATGGACAGGAACATTCCAAGTTCTCCTGACTACCCCAACAGCCATCAAGACAGCAGAAGGCTCCTCCCCCTCCAATTCCCAGATTCTCCTGCAGTCCAGAACACTCCACTACAATCAGATTAACACGGATCTCAGAGGAACCACAAATCCACGCACTCTTGGTATCATTACATGATTTCAGGCATGGAGCCCATCCCTCCGCCTACAAGGCACCCTCTCCAACTTCTTTCTGGGAGAAATCCCTTATTTCTCTTCCTTAATTCAGTTCTCTTTTTCTCTACTAAGCGCTCCACAACATTAGGCTACCGGGAATTCCAGGTTCACGAAACCTGGGGCAACCAACTCTTCTTAACTCCAGCTGCTAGGATTGTTAGCATAATCGCAGCCTTCTTCCTTTTCCCCACCCTCACTATGAATGCTCTTCTTATTCCCAAGAAATAAAAAGTAGCCTGAGATAAAACCTACCGGCTGGTGTCTCCCTGTTCCCTCACTGACAGGAGACAACTTACCGTCCCCTGAGATGGGGACATACTGGTTTCCCTGTTCTCTCCTTGAGAAGATAAAGGGACATGTCAGTTTCCCTGTTCCCTCTTTGAGAGATAGAAAACTGCCTTTGTTCCCAAGAAACAAACTTGCCTTCCACAAGATCAGGGGATACTCACTATGTTAGTCAAGACTAAGCCCGCCCCAGCACGTGGCCATGATTCTAGCCTGTAAAAGGTAACATTCAAGGGGGAGTGGCTGCTGCTCTCCCTCTTGCTGCTGCTGTCCCTCTCTGTTTTGCAGAGCAGCCTTGTCAGGCTCCTGGCCATAAACCGGCTTCTCATCCCAGGTGTGTGTGAGATTAGTCCTGCACCATTTTTCTTTCAGGGATGGTACACCAACACTCCTGTCGTACTCCAATTTGATGCCTGCGCAACTACCACAACATAAAATTTCATCATGGGGTGCCACTCCCTCAATTGGGAATGAGACTATGCTTCCCAGTTCAAACGAAAACAAATGCAGGATTGCCAAGGCAGCTCTGATGAGGCTTTTGGTCCCTACTGGTCTTGCCATCACATTCACACACCTATGCCCGGAACTTTCTCCAATTTCCTTCCCCCAACTGTAAAAGTAAACAATGTAATCTCGTACAATATGACATCCCTGACCCTCAAAACCCGCTTGGGGACTCCACCGGCAAGGCTGGAGTCCATATAAATGGGTGGGGTAGAGATCCAGCAGGAATAATCAAAATTACCAAGGCCTACATCCAACTGGCTGACAAGCAACACACAACATGGCCCAACCATACTAAACCCACGCCTAGACCCCCTCGGCGCACATTTCCCAACACAACCTTGCAACTCCTCACTAATTCCCATCCGTCCTATACTTCTGTGTCTCTGCGGCCCTCTTACCCACAGCTCATTGACAGCAAACCCTATCCCTCTCCATGGACTTCCCATCTACGTCTCTATTCACCACTTCTTCATGTAATTTCTTGGGACCACTGTATTCCAATGTCCCCTACTTTGCTGCACCCTCTCCCACCCTATGTCTCTATTCCACCATGCTACTAACAGTGTCCTGTGTAACACAACTGACAACGTCACTCAGCCACTTGGGAGCCAACCTGGCATCTTCTTCCTCTGCGGAGCTTCATTCTTTGCTGCTGACACCCTCTATTCCCACCTCTGCCTCCCTGTCCACTTCACACCAGATATAACCATATACTCTGAGGGGGAGGTTGAACTGGCCCCTTTCCTCCATCTCCTGGACTCCATTCAAGTCCCAGATGCCAAAGAGTAACCCTGCCCAGTCCTCATTGGATCAAGCATATTGGCAGCAGTTGGCACAGGGACAGCAGGAATAGGCAGAGCCACCCATCTTTACTATAAACTCTCCCAAGAACTGAATGAACACTTTGAGCAGGTGGCAGACTCCCTAGAGTCTCTTCAAATTCAAGTCACCTCCTTAGCCAATAATGTAGGTATCCAAAATAGGAGAGCCACTGACTAACAGCAGGGAAGGGAGGCACTTGTGTTATTTTAGGAGGGAAATGCTGTTATTTCGCCAACAAATCCATAACAGTCCAAGTAAAAACAGCCTAGCTCTGCGCTCTGGGAGTGCAACAAGAAACACCGCCCAGAGGACCACAGTCATCTCCCTGGAACCTTTTGGGCCAGACTCTCCCCTGGCTGTTCCCCTCTCAGGCCTCTCCTTACATTCATGACAGTGCTCTTAATAGGACCTTGTCTGGTAAATTGCCTGAAAAAGTTTTTGAGAAACAGAGTAAAGGCACTCACTAATCAGACCGTAAACCAGCTCTTTCTGAGCCAATATAGCCCCTCCCTGCAGTTCCAGCCTACACCCTTCTTGCCCTTCTTCAGCTGGAAGGAACCCAGGCCCTTGTCATTAGAAGACAAAAGGCCGGAATGCTGGGTCCTTAGGCCAAAGTAACTTCTGAAAATCGGCATTTGCCCACCCAGGTGTGACCTTCCCCTTAGGCCCACCCCAAGGCGTCTGACTACCGAAACCACAGCAAAGGCGCCAAGTGACAATCACAGGGGCAGACAGGTATTTTGAAGTTGTTTCCAGCAGGCTGCTGGCCTGGCAGAAGGGCAGCCTGGCAGATGGTCTCTGTCAATAAACCTTTGCTTGAACCCAGAGCTGCGTCTCCCTGGATATTTAGGCCACCTACCCTAACACCACTTAATGGCTCTGTGATGTGGGAGGCGCGGGAGAGCCTCCAGGAGTCCGCTCCTTCACAGCAAAGTGAGCAAAGGGGCGGACCCATTTCTAGGAATTGGCCCCAGTCCCCTTCAGGCACAAGCGCCCAACTCCCGCGTGGTCTGGGCTGCGAGGGCGCTGAGGCGCTGGGGCTTGCTCGAGCGTGAAACAGGAGGGGACGACGCGCCACGCACAGCCGATTGGGCCCTGGGGCTGACCACCTGCCCGCCTACCTAGCACGGCCCACGCTCTCCTGCCCTGGGTCTGCCCTGCCAGGTGCCGAGTCACCTGGGCGCAGAGGCGTGTTCGCGAATGCGCCTGCGCAGCTTGGACGTAGGCCTCGCAACTCGACTACATTTCCCAGAAACCTTTGCGACCCCCGCTCCTTGACCACTGAGACCTTTCTTTGCCACCTCCCTCAGTCTTTCCCCTTCTTACGATGAACACTGTGACGCTGGAAGTTACAAGTTGAGATGGAAGTAGCCTACGACCCTGAACTGTCACTTTAAGGAAAGCTACATTCACTCAGAAGCACCAAGTATCGGTGAACTCAGCCTAATTCTGTTTTAAGATTAGGAGCCATATCATCACAAAGTCATGAAAAAGTTAATTTCTGTTTTACTATAAATTACTGAGATTTCTAAACTTGTCTGGAATTCCCGCCCGTGTGCTGAACTCACCCATGCCTGGCTTTCCTTGACAAGATAACAATCCTCTCTGAAACCTCAGCAGCGTCTCATAAATTCTGATGTTGGGATCTGAATTTACTCCTTACCTTGAAGTATCATGCATATAGATCATTAATCTGCCATCTGCCCTTGTATTATGCTTGCCAGAACCCTGTTAGCTGTAAGTTCCCAAGACACCCCCGCTTTGTAACTTCTTGTGCTATATAAAACTTTTCTTCCAAGAGCTGGGCTGATCTCTAGCCTTGCTTTGGGAGAGACAGTTGCTGGCCACCTTTTGTGTACACAACACAAGTTTGCTTTAATTTGATTTAAAATTGGAGTCGGTGGTTGTTTCTTTGCATTGTGGTTCAACAATATGCCTTACATAAGAAATCAACTTTTATGAACTCTGGTCTAGTATATATTTTGGAAGTTTGTTATAGTAGCTAGAGCCATCTTGACTAAAATACAGTCAAGTGTCAAACCACGTGTAAAAGAGGATGAATCTATGCCCCCAAATTTCATGCACAAAGAATAAAACCTTTTTTCACTGTTTAAATCTGAATCTCATTTTCGTTTGGAGCCACCGATTCTGGGGCACAGCAGGGGGAGAGGGTGAGGTGTTTTGCAGAAACTGTATCTCAGTTATTTGCTCATAAATAAAGTTTTATTGGGATGCAGGCATGCCCATTCATTTATTCATAACTGTCTACAGCTGCTTTCAGGTGCTCTAATGACAGAGTTCAATCAATGACTTGGAAAGCCTAACACATCTATCTGGCCCTTCACAGAAAAGTTTAATGACTCCTGGCTTAAACCACTTCTAACTGGGAGAAATGTTACAGCTAAAGAGAAAAAAAAAATCCTGGTACCTTTTCTTGTCTGTTGCCTGTCTCTTTTTTAAAAATAAGATTAGACAATTTCAAAACTCAGAGAGATTACGTATTCAGCAAGACCAGAAAACTGAGTTTGTCTAATTTCACTGTGCAAGTTGTTAACTTTATAGTCTCCCAGAAAATCTTGTGCAATAAGGATAGAAGGCCATTAAAGAAGGTAGAGAAGCAGCCACACAAGGCGGTATGTGACTGTATGAGGCTGAGGCAGGAGGATGGTTTGAGCCCAGGAGTTTGGGGCCAGCCTGGGCAACACAGCAACACTCTATCTAAATAAAATGGTAGAGAAGAAGAGATACACTGGCTCTGCTGTATGTCCACCTGCTGCAGCATCTTGGCTGATGACTTTTTTTCTTTCCCTGAGAAGAGTGGATATTACTCTGTCATAGCCAAGACCTTGGCTGGGACATGTGAAGAGGGGTCAGGGTCACTTCATTAACAGGGACTCATTCTTGCCCTTGCTGTCCAATCAACGGGTTGAGTCAGGGCTCCTCTAGGCTGAGCCAAGAGGACTTCACCAGAGACCTCTGCAGCATCCCTGAGGGATCGATGATTAATTATAAAATTGGAATTTGTTTTCCAATGTGCCCAGTAGGGCAGGATTTGGAAATCCTTAGGTCTTGGTTGTGACAGCTTGGAAACCTATCTTATGAAAACAATCACAAAGAAGTTGATTGGCCATAGTCCACATATGTTCATCATAGCATTATCCAATATTAATAAAAGCTGAAGATTACATTGAAATGGTAATAAAACTAAATAGGACATACAGTTGAAAACAACCTTTGATTCCAACATCAGGGAATCTATGAAACAGCAATACAACCTGCCCATATGCTTTAGTATCTTCATGATGGGTGGGGAGACAATAAATACCCTTATCAGCTTATGAAATTCGAATATAAAGCCATTTGAACAGCATGTAACAGAAAACACCACAGAAGTGTTTGCTATTTAAAAACAAGTTTTTAATAGTTCCCACGGTGTGACTTTGCTGTCCTTCCTCCTCTACTTCTTGTAGTGGAAACCCCCCACCTTGCTTGCAAGAACAAGTTCTTACAGCCTCTCCTGTAGTTAGCTTGTTGTCATTCCCACCCAGGCCAGCTGAGGTTGGCAACTCCCTCCTGGGGTTCCCACAGGTACACCCCAGTATCCCAGCGCTGGCATTGTAATAATTGCTGTGTTGTAATTCTTTAGTAACTGTCTGTCTCCCTCATCCCAGACTGCGCTCACTGGTAGCTCTCATCACACTATAATTTATGCACAATTTAATTATCCCTGTACCGTGCACTTCTAGGAAAATCCCACGAAGTGAAGGGAGCCTCTGGACCTGTAGGGGGAAGATATTAACAAACAAAAAACCCTCACAACATTGCTGGCTGCTACCCAAACAAAAAGCACTAGTTTGAAACCTTCAAGCTTGGGCTTTTCCCAAATGGGATGAGGTCTGGCTGCCATGTGTGAGGCACTGGTTCGATTCTCAGCACTGCATATAAATAAAATAAAGGTCTATCAACAACTTAAAAAGAAGGATAAGAAGAGGAAGGAGGAGGAGGAGGAGGAGCCAAGATGAAGTCAAGCATCTCAAACAAGCCTGCAGTGGCCACGACCCTGGACCATGACTTCAAACGCGCTGGGCAGGGGGCGTCGCCATGGCGACCAGCCTAGTAGTGCCCGGCAGAGGGTAGCACGAAAAAGCCCAGACATTGGTTCCCTCGGGATTTTTTTTTTTTTTTGGGGGGGGGGGGTACTGGGGATTGAACTCAGGGGCCAGGCACTGGACCACTGAGCCACCTCCCCAGCCCTGTTTTGTGTTTTATCTAGAGACAGAGTCTCACTGAGTTGCTTACTGTCTCACTTTGGCAGAGGCTGGCTTTGAACTTGCAATCCTTCTGCCTCAGCCTCCCAAACCGCTGGGATTACAGGCCTGAGCCACCGGCCGGTCTTCCCTCGGGATTTTTTCGGTGCCACAGAAAGGAAGGGGTCGCAGCGGGTGAGCTGGCCCGCTCCATTCCAAAGGCGCTCAACTGCGCAGGTAGAAAAATTGGTATCTTGGCAACGGGCGCCCTTGAACCAGGAAGTCAAGTTTCCGCCTTTCATATACCGCCCCCACCTCCTGCGTTTAACCTGACTAGGTGACAGTATCTATGGCGACAGACGCTTTCTCAGGAGAAGAGCATTCTGGGAAATGTAGTTAATTAGGGAGTCTAAGGACGCTCAGCAAAGCTGGAAAACCCTAACATACAATCTACAACCCCCCAAAATTTCCGGTCATCTCACAGAAGTAAAAGACATGTTTTGGTTTATCTGCAATACTTGAAATACAGTTGTGGAGAGTGCCAACACTAGTGATGAAGAAATTTAATGTACAAATCTGAATATGTGTTCTCTTGAAAAATCTTAAGATCTGAAAACACTGGGGCTGTTTCTCCATGACCACAGTAAGATGGAGCTGAGTAGAAAATTCTATTTCATTCTGAGATAGAAAATTTCATCACTATGAATTGGGATTTGCAGTTACTTTACCTATCTGGACCCATAAGTTATTTAAGGTCTCAATCCCAGATCCTGGGAAAACCCACCAAATTCCTTTTCTTGGCATTTAAAGTAAGTCTTAGTTTATGGAACAAAATGTCTTTGTGGACTTTTATACCACACACACACACGCGCATGCACACGCACACACACACACATGCACACACACACTCATTTATTCAAAATTTATTGGGCATGAGGTCCAAGCCAGGCACTGTGTTAGGCACTAAATCTTCAGCCAATCAGCTTTTTTTGTCTATCCGTGACCATTTCCTCATAAATCCCTCATTATCTGAACCCTGAATTAGATAATGATTGTTCTGATGGCAGATTAAGAAATAGAAGGGATTCCATGGTTTATGGAGTAGCAAGAGTTCCACTTACATGAAAATGTATTAGAATCTTTTCCGGTACACAGAGGGTAAAAAACTAGGTTTAAGATAGAGAAGGAAACTTGGACTCTTCCCTTGATCATTGCTCTTTTATTTAACCACACTTGAGGGTCCGACCACATCATCTTCTTTAGGGTGCATTTTCTCCCCCAAAGAAGAGAGTTGTCCCTTCAAACCTCACAAAAGGTTGTCTATCCCCTTTGAAGGTCCAAATCACTTTGGCCTTGAATTAGGATAATTGGTGGCTCTCAATGAACAAGATCTAATCTCAACCTTCAAGGAACACATAACCATTATAAAAACAGTTGGTCACCAATTGGTAGGAGGGTGTCCAGGAAACTGTCAAACACATGAAGAATTTGTCATAGGTTTTATTAAACTTGTTTCCTTTCCCTTTATGAACCCCAAAGCATCATCCTATTGCAAGAGGAGTTTTCGGTTTTTCCTGTATGTACAACCCCTGGTTAAGAGAGAGAAATTCTGGAGGTTAGAAAGAGAATTTCAGGGTCCCTCCAAGGCAAATTACCTCCCCCAAGGTTCCCCCTAGTCACTGGTCCGATTTGGCCAAGCCAGTGACAGCATGGGTTTTGGGGAAGATTTCCAGTCAATTCATGATGGTACTTGAGGAAGGAGAGAAAGTTGGAATGGAAAAGTTGGAGTTATGGCAGAATGTGGGAAAAGACCAAGAGATAAGAAAAGGCAGAAATGGAGAGACATGAAAAGACAAAACCAGAATGTAATGGGTTAAACCGTGTCCTACTTCTAAAAATATAAATCCAAGACTCAACTCCCAGTACTTGTGAATATGACCTTATTTGGAAATAGGATAATTAAATTGAAATGAGATCATCTTGGACAAAGGCCGGGCCCTAGATTCAGAGACTGGTGTTCTTATATGAAAGGAGAGGGAGCCCTGAGGCACACACACAGAGGAATCATGAATGCAGGATCAGAGACTGGGGGGAGAGGCCATGGGCTAAGGAATGCCACCAGCAGCTAGGAGATAGGTATCCTCCCTTGGAACCTCAAGGAAGAACCAACCCTGGAAGCCTTGACCTCAGATTCTTGGCCTCCAGAATTCGGAGAACAAATTTCTGTTGTTTTAAGACACTTAGGTATGGTCATTGGTTGCAGCAGCCCTAGGAAACTAATACACAGGGAGAAAGAGAAATGGAG